TATTTAGTAGAAAAGAATTGTTTTTTTTTAAAAGTCAAGGTCAGGCAAGGTGATGCATGCCTTTAATCTAGCACTTAGAAGGCAGAGGCAAGTGGATCTTTGTGAGTTCAAGGCCAGCCTGGTACACACAAAAAGTTTTGGGTCAGCCAGGTCTGTATAGTGAGGCCCTTTCTAAAACAACAGAAGAAGCTGAGAGGAACTTTAAGTTTGGTTTAGAAAGGCAAGTAACCCGATTTTAACAATTGCAACAGGGACAATAAGATAGCACAGAGGGTTGAAGTATGCAAATGAAGGCAAACGCAGAAAAGGATTTGTGATGTTGTTAGTCCTTAGAGATACGCAAATCAGAACCTCAGCAAGATAGCACTTCACACCTACTAGACTGGCTGTGACGTGAAAGCTGAGCATCATGGGGCACTCCTTTAATCCCAGAACTCAGGAGGCAGAGGCAGGCGGATCTCTTGAGTTCAGGCCAGCCTGGTCTACAGAGTGAGTTCCAGGACAGCCAGGGCTACACAGAGAAACTCTGTCTCAAAGACAACACAACACAACGCAACAAACGTTGGATGGTAGGCGCTCACTGGAGTAGAAACGAAGCAGCCACTCCATACTCTGCCACTGCTGAGAAACAAACTAACTGTAGGCCCATTGCCCTTCCGTGTGTAGCTGCTTCAGGGCTGCAGCCCCAAATCCATTAGTGTGAACTCTGAGCAGGTCCTCAGATGCTAAAGGTGAACTTTATAGATCTGATTTCTGTCACTGTTTTTATACCAAGTACTTACTTTTTTGTCTATAACTTTATTCACCAGTTTCATACATTATTTCCCTAACATTGAGGAAAATCCAGGTTAAGACTGTACAGTTCATTGCAAACCCACCTTGATCTGAGGTTGGGAGTCCTCAGATTTTGCAGGCATGAAGTTAATCTTGAATAAAAGCCAGTGTACCCAACCATGGGTAAGTCTAAGGTAACTAGATACATTTTCTTAGTGAAGTCAATAATTTTACTTTGTTCTGATCAGTATTTCAATCCTATGAAATATTTGAAGAAATAGCTAGCACAACGCATAATTCTAATAATTAATGTCAGCAGTTCCAATGTATTGGATATCTCCTTGAGTGTAATAGCATAGGTTTAAAATCATTGTAGATTAGGAAATCTTTGGCTTTCTAGAGTTTACTGATTTCAAAACTTTCTCTTAATTCTATTTAATTATCCACCTGGTGGTTTTAAACTTTGACAAACTTTCCTTTCAGAAAAAGTAAACTGAAACCAGTCAACAGAGATTTGGAATATAATTTAGTCTTTCTTCATAGTATGTTTTTTCTGTGTAATGAGGAAATGAACACAATTCTATTAACTATAAAAACTTCATTCTGCATTTCAGAAGGTACACTTTTAACCAAAGAACAATTTTCCATTAATTCAGAGTATATTATTTAACATTAAAACCCAAACACCTATCTCTGAATCCACAACATAGCAACAGCGTTAACACTGGTCTAGTCACCAGTTACCACAGGACTGTAGAAATATAGTTTAACTTGTCTGGTTCCCATTTTTTTTGAAAAAGGAAATTATAGAACTTTAAACATACTATATTTGAGGTACATAATGATGGACTTTATAGTGAGTTTCATGCAGGTATAGTGTATATTTTGATCTTATTCATCCTTCCTTATTACTCTCTTCTGTCCCCCTCAGCTTTCAAATAGTTCTCCCTCTAGTTTCAAGTTTTTTATTTTTATTTTATTTATTTAATTTTTTTTGAGACAGGGTTTCTCCATGTAGCCCTGGCCGTCTTGGAGTTTGCTTTGTAGACCAGGATGGCCTCAAACTCAGAACTCTGCTTGCCTTTGCTTCCTGAGTGCTGGGATTAAAGGTGTGTACCATCATGCCTGGCTGTTTTTTTTTTTAATTATTTACATCTAAAATTCTACATAAGAAAAAACATGGTATTTATATTTCTGGGCTTAACTTGTTTTGTTTAACATAGTGGCCCCAGGCCCAAAATTTTTATGCAAGGACATGACTTCATTCTTCTTTATGATTGATTAATACACATTGGATACATAAGCGATATTCTTTTCATCATTCATATAGTGATAGGTGTGTAGACTGATTCCATAACTTAGGTGTTGTGCAGTGGTCTCAGGCTAGTTTTAGGTTTTGAGGAACCTTTGTACTGTTTTCCATAGTGACTGTACTGATTTACATTCCTGTCTACCTTCATCTCCCAATCTGTTGTCTTTTTATTATAGTATATAAGGACCTCCTACCTTCATCTCCAAATCTGTTGTTCTTTTTATTATAGTCATAATGACCAGGTGAGATGAAATCTCATTGTAGTCTTGATTTGTAGTTTGCCAATAGTGAGCACTTTGTCATGATTTATTGACATTTATACTTCATTTAAAGATCTTTCAATTCATTTGCCCACTTATTGCTTAGAATATACAAAGAACTTTTAAGAGATGAATTTGTTTCAGACTCATTCTATCCTTATCCTTACCCTTGAATCTCCCAGGATGCTGATTTATGCCGTTGAGTAGAAGAAGAAATTGAATTGATAGATGAAACTAAGTTCCATTAAAATGGTAGAAGTAAAGTCAGCTGTAGTGACACACACCTATAATACCAGCAGTTAGGAGATGGAGGAGGATTATGGTGAGTTCGAGGATAGCCTGGGCTATATAGTGAGATCCTGTTTCAAAAAACAACACCCAGAAATGCTTTGAAGGCTAATTCCTTGTTTCCTTTGTGTGCTCGGAGCTGGGTGCTTCTGATACAAATGCAGACAGTGAGATGATAGAGGTAGACAGAGACGGACTAGAGACCTGAGAATTGATGAGAAGTTTGAGAAGAGAGCAAGACAGAGGAAGGAAAGGGGAGGACCTGAGCCCTGACAGGTGCAGGGAATGGCATGTCCTGTTAGGGAGTTTTGAGGCACACACCTCTCAGCACAGATCATAATGCTGGGGTTAGTGGGAGAATGGGAAGGTTGGATTCCAGGCTGGTTCATTCTGACAGCATGCTGGCAATGAAGAGTTTGGAAGTTTGGAGCCTGGTGGTCATGAGGAGTCTGTTTTTAAGGAAATTACAGACTGGATTACAGAATGGATTGGACAACAGAAGACAAGCTAGGGAAGTATTAAGTGATTGGATCTAAACCAGTAGGAGTGCAACCCAGAAGTAATGAGCACAGAGGAAGCTGACTGAAAAAGAAGTAACTTTGTGGTTGCAGGATCTCTGGGAACGTGAGAAACTTTGAACAACATGGGGAGCTTTTTGTGTGTGTGTGTGTGTGTGTGTGTGTGTGTGTAGTTCTGGCTGTTCTGGAAGTCACTTTGTAGACCAGGCTGGTGTGGAACTCACAGAGATCCGTCAGCCTCTGCCTCCAAAGTGCTGGGTTTAAAAGCATGTGCCACCACCGCCTGTCAGAAATTCTGCTTTTTATAAGGGAAAGGACAGAAATCAATCACAAATAGAAATTTGAAAAAAAGTTTGGTTAGAGTGAATTTTATTATTTTTGGTTCTATGTGTCAAACTTGGGGCTTTGTGAATAGTAAGCATGTGTTCTGTCACTGAACTAAATCCCAGCTCTTGTGATATTGAAATTTTAAGAGATTGATTTATTATTTATGTTTTATGAATATGAGTTTTTTTTTTTGCCTGTATTTTCATGCAGTGCCTGAGGAGGCCAGAAGAGTGCATTGGATACTCTGCATCTGATCCCTTGAACTGGAGTTAGAGATGGTTGGAGCTGTCATGTGGGTGCTGGGAACTGAACCTGGGTCCTCTGGAAGAGCACTAAGTGCTCTTAACCACTGAGCCATCTTTCCAGCTCCAACGTGGAAACTTTCATTAAACTATTTTTCTAAAGTGATTAATTGACATTATAATTTTTTTGTGTTTGTTTTTTTCAAGACAGGGTTTCTCTGTGTAGCCTTGGCTGTCCTGGAATTCACTCTGTAGACCAGGTTGGCCTCAAAATCAGATCTACCTGTTTCTACCTCCTTGAGCACTGAATTAAAAGCATGTTCCAACAACACCTAGGACTACTTCATGATTTTTGTACAAAACAAAATATCTGAAAACTAATGACTTAGAGCAATTAGTATCATAATTGTTAGGCCTAGTAATGGTTCCTGGAAATATTCAGCAGTGGTTTCCTAATACTCTTGATAAACTCAGTCACTGGATTTTCAAAACTCCTGCAATATTAAATAGTGTTTTTATTTTTGTAGTTATAGATTTATAGCAAGGTGGGAATTGTTCTGGCCTGATTTGCTGTGGTGTGTCAGTAATATTACTAATCACAAGTCATATCTCTGAGTTAAAATGCAGAGTCCCCATGGGGTTGTTTCGTGGTTATTTTTGGAATTTAGTGAGCAATTTGATTCCAAGTATAGCATTTAATTCTTTATATTTCTTGAAAGTTACATTCCCATCTGCCTCTATAGAAAAATATAACTTGTCTTTATTTAAAGCAAGAGCAGAAATTAAGAGCATAGCTGTGCAAGATCTTAAGATCATCAAGTACTTTGACCAAGACCTACTTGGTCTCACACTGGGAGATAGTATAGAAGGAAGGCCCTGAGAGTCATGAGATGTGAGAATTGAATGTTCCTGAATGTTTTGCCATTTCATTAGTTTTACAGTTAAACATATCCGTTTCAACTAGGCCGACTTCCTTTGGGGAGGTTCAGGAAAATGACAGGTTTATCTGTAGCTGCTATCTCTTCAGGGTTTCTGACCTGGCTCCAGTCCTAGAGGTTGATCTGAGAACTCAACCTCATTCTGTCCATGAGCTTGTCGATTTGTTAACATGTGCGCCTCCTAACTAAAATCTGGTGGAGTTATGTGAAGAATGCATTGGTTATAGTTGTTGGGAGAGGGCTGGGTGATTGTCATAATTTCTGCTGGTAGAGTTTCTGAAAGAAAAATGAAGTCAGCTCCTTTTGTTGGGAAGGAGATTTCATGTTATCTGTGTTTGCAGGCTTTCTGGCTCACATGCTGGAGGAATCCTTGCTGCGGGGGTGTTTTCATTTTCTCGTCTAACATGGCAGTGGTCCATTGCAGCCGAGGTTTTTAGCTTAAACAATCTGTTTGTGGGGCTGCTCATGGCGCTTACTGTGCGTTTTGAGGAGGCAGCAGCCGCAAAGGAGAGATCAAAGGTAAGCTATTTTGATCAAAGTGAAATCAGTTTTGTTTCAATTTTTAGACAGAAATGTATTTCTTTTTAACTTTGGTTTAGACCACATTGATCTGTTCTGATTCCTATTAGGATAATCTGGGCAGGTGGAGAGACTGTCCTCAGACCCTTTGTTAGGAACGGAGTGGTGGCACCTCCCAAGCATGGCTCTTTTCCCCCAAGAGTTCAGAAGGTTTTTGGAGAATGGGAATTATGAAATATCTAGTCAGTCCTGAGGGAGGGGTGGGTTTGGTTCGTGTGTGTGTGTGTGTGTGTGTGTGTGTGTGTGTGTGTGTATGGTGGGGGTGAGGCCAAGCTGTGGATGGACTACCTTAAGGTATATACTGTGGTAGTACATTGATTCCTCACTGGTCACAAGTTATGAATTATTTTTAGACAGTAGAAGAGCATCAGATCTAAAAACCCAAGTTGTTCAGAGGTCACCCTGCCACAGTCATCTAAGCCTTGTAAGCATTTGGCCTCTGTACCTAGTTCAGGCCACCCTGTTGTTCGAGTTCAGAACAAAAGATACCATGGTTTATTTGTGATTCCCATAAATCCCCAATGCTACTAGAGTATTTTGTTTAAAACAACCTTCTTTTCTGGTTGTGTTAAAGAAAAAAAATGTGATATGTATATGCCATGTCCTTGTTATGGGACACAAGCAGGCTTTGTTGGATTCAGCCAGAGGGACCATGGTAGCAGACTTAACTCCAAATATAAAAAAAAGTAGGAATTTCTAACCAAGGTGCCGAAGGGAATCAGTGAAGGGTTACTCACAGGAAACATAAGGAAAAGGGGGTTCGGGTAAAACCAAGGTCAGGAGATTCTCGGGAGGAAGCAGGCCTTGGTGAATGCGGAGCTGTGATAGGACATGTAGGTGGGGAGTTAAGGATCTGCACTGCGATTGGACGGTGGAGAAGAGGTCAAAGGAGCCTGACTGCAGTGTGGTCAAGGAGACCATGTTTATCAATTAGGAAACAACTACATGTTCAGTAACAACTGAAAGCCCCCTCCGAGATAACCAGAGTTCTAAATGAAATTTTATTTATTAGCATTTCAGCAGAATTGCTCAACTTCAATGACAGATTTCAATTAGGGATCATACAGTACCCCAGCATTGTAAGGGGCTTCCCAGGAGCCAGTGTGAAGATAGTCTTGAGGTCAAGCTGTAGGGTTTTATAGGAGTGGGAAAATTACCCAGAACTCCTGCTGATAAACATTAGTGACTATTAACGTGACTGCTTGCATCTCAGGGCTTGGCTCTGGCCTGGCACGCAGAAGCTTCGCAGGTGCATCGAGGCCTCCTTCTGTTATGTTTAGAGTTTTAGGGGAGGTTTTGACTAGTGTTTCTCTTTTCCTTCCCAGATAGCAGTCATTGGTGCTTTCTCCTGTGGCCTTAGCCTGTGTAATCAGCACACAATAGTACTCTATGTTTTATGCATTATACCCTGGATTCTCTTCCGACTTCTGAAAGAGAAGGTAGGTTTTTTATTATAAAAATTAAAATCCGATTGTTTCACGTAGGTTCAATTCAGCATTTGTGCTATCTGAAAAATTAGGGCTTTAGTGTTTCTTGAGTTTTATGTAAAGCATAAATGACCTGAGGCTTTAACAATATTGACTTTAAAAAGAGGATTTACAGAACTATGCAATATTGATTGTAGTGGCATCTGGCCGACTTCATAATTTTCCTCATGATTCTCGACAGCACCTCAGTGAGAAGAGGCAGACGGGACTGAGAGCAGCAATCTCAAGTTTCTTAAATGGTTTTCTTGCACGTCCTAAGAGTCAAGGCAGTCAAGCACCAACTATTGGTTCCTTCGTTCAAGGGTTGAGTGCTGTCTTCTGACTGCTTGCTCCAGGAGCTGGAGACTGACAACAGCAGAGAGCGTTGCCGCTGATGTGAGCTTTGAAGTCAGCAATGATAGTCCTGTTTTCTCAGAGTCTGTAGAATCCCTCCTCACAATTGAAAACCGCTCATTTCCCTTTCATCTTTCTCTAAAGAAACATTAATGTTAATTAAAATGCCAGAGAGAAGCAATGCACAATTTCCTTTGTTATACACTGGGAGATTTCAGGTAGGAAAACGCAGGGAGTGAGTTAGTCCTGGACTGTGGGAAGATAAATGTCCTTAATTCTGTCAGAGTTCTTCTAGAACTATAGCCTATTTGTAAAGCAGTCACTTTATTTATTGTTTCTTTAACAAACTCAGTGATATTTATTTCTCATTATTTGTTAATTATATCCAACTACAATCGGAATTATAATAGAAAACACATAAAGCGTGTAATAAAATTATTAGGAAATAATTATACTAAAGCTTTAAATAATTGTATTTACTATACTTTAGCACATCTTGGTAACAAAGCAAAACAGGGTAATGTGGAGATTACAAAATTCTTATTATGTGATTACAAAAAGGAAACAATAGTTGATAAAGAACAACTTTTTCTTAGAACTTAATTTGGTGACGTCAATCATGTAAGTCCTTACATGGGGGACATTAAACAGCTTAGCCAGCAGAGTGTTTTTAGAGTGTTATTTATTGGTGTTTGGTTCTTTGACCCAAGGTCTCTGTGTTCAACAGTGGTTTACCAGAGTATACAGAGAGTTCCTTTATGTAAGTCTTGGATAATAGATGAAGACATAGCTAGATGTGATGGTGCAGGCCTGTAATTCCAGCATCTGGGAGTCTTAAGCAAAGGCTTGAGGGTTTGAGGTCAGTCTAGTGTACACAGAGAGTTTGGAGCCAGCCAGGTTTATATCTGAAAATTACAAATTTAGGGCAAAGAGTTAACGTAAAAAAGTATAATTCGACACAACCGAGGCAGCACATCTGCTTTTCCTGAATCTGGGTGCCTGGGTGGGGTAGACAGGCAGTCCTGCCTGCTCTAGTTTCAGACTTCTGACCTTAGAGTCAGGTTTGTTTTATTGGAGGACAAGCCATATAATTTGTGTAAAATGTTCAGGACTCAAGAGTTAACACTGTAGAGCCTGGACTATTGCTCTGTCCTGGGGTAGACTACTGATGAGTGCTCGGATTTGGGCAACAGTGACTCTTCAATGTAGCTCTTTCATTTCCATTAAATAACAGAAGGGAAGTCAAGAGAACATGGAGTATGTGTGTGTGTGTGTGTGTGTGTGTATGTGTGTGTGTGTGTGTGTGGTGTGTTTCTGTATGTATACATAGGTACATATATGCATTTATTTTGAAGCCTGATTCCACCACCAAACCATTCTGTGTTTACAGGTGGAAGAAATCCCTGTCAGGGGATCACAGTGCACAGCCAGGGCAGGGAAATTCGGCCCCATCCACCTGTGATTGTCCCTGCTTACTTCTTAGACAAAAGGAAAACAATATGTCAACTGTTTCTTTCCATTCTAAATTCAACTTTATGATGTGCAGTGCCTTCAAACCTGTGAACACTGACTTCATGGCCCACTTTAAGACTAGCAGCTGCCGTTGTCAGATTAGGTAGTTCTGCATGCTTCCATGCCATCGCTTTACTAATCTCGCTGCTGCTGTGGAAATCACAAATGAAATCAGTGCTACAAGAAAACACTCCCTGTTCAATTAAGAATGTTCGTTTGAAAATGCAAAGAGGAGTCAGCTGCTTGTTCTACTGCTGCCGATCAAGTCCTGCCTCTTATATCATTCTCACAGATAAATTTCTCATTTTTGTAAGGGAAAAAGTTGGTAGTTTCCAATTATGATGTTTGTAAGAGATCCCCTTTCTCAGTTATTAAAGCGAAAAAGGCTTGGATGTTTCTGGAATACCAGAATTCACATTGTTTGGACTTAATCTTTGTAATTGTCATATTTCGTTTTTGACATGTACAGGTGAGCAATTCCTCCAGGCAGAGCATATGAAACAACATGGTTACACATAACAGCCAATTTCTTTGGTATTCCATTAAGCATAGATGGAGGAGAGGAACGTGGAGGCACCTGGGGGTCTATAAAAGCTAGCTTTGTCTACACCAAACGCTTCCATGAGCTGTTGAAAGAATCACATCATCCCATTACATCAACTGTAGTGAAGTATACAGTTAAAGATGCTTCTGGTGATGGTGATGAAGTGAATTAGCATTAAAATAGTATCAGGGGCAAATAACATGCAGTCACTTCCAAGGGGGCCATCTCAGCAGTGCGGTGCAGCACGTCATGACATGGTTTAAATGTAAGAGATACAGCCATTTGAAACTTACACGTCTTTGCTAATATTTGCTCCACTCAGCTTTTGCCACAAAAAGGGATCCAGGCTGATGCAATTTTCTGGTAATCCTCAGTAATCAGAAGGTTTAGCATAGTGTTCTGTGGTGACTTAATATAAATTGAGAGATCAGCTTTAAGCAAACACATTTGATGTTTCCCCTGATGTGTTTTTTGAGGTTCCAGGATGAGTGGGCTAAAATAAACATGTCCCCCACGGTGTGTCCTGTGCAGGAACTCACCTTCAGCTTTCTGTTGAAGCTCACTCTGGCTTTCTCGGCTGGCCTGCTGCCCTACGTCTACCTGCCTGTGTCATCCTACCTTAGCCACGCCCGCTGGACCTGGGGAGACCAGACGACATTGAGAGGGTTCCTGACACATTTTCTCCGGGAAGAATATGGAACATTCAGCCTGGTAAACTTTACTTAAAGCCCTGCCAAGGAGTGGCAGAGCTTGAGTGTTCATTTGGCCCTTGGCTGAAAGAGCAGCACATAGGGCTGTCATTTTAGTTACTTGTGGAGCAGGTTAGTCCCTTGGAATACGGCTCTTCACCTGTACTGTTTACTGTGACAACAGTACCCCCCACCCACACACTTTTTCTTTGTTTATTATCTTTGTGAGTCAATGTCTTACTCCATAGACTAGGCTTGCTTCCAACTTACGAGCTCCATGTCTCTGAAGTTATAAATATGTACCCACATTCGGTTTAACGTTTCCATTTCATGATTTATACTTCAGTTTCTAAAAGTTTGGTTTTTTTTTTTTTATGTGCTTGGGTGTTTTGCCTTAATGTATATCTGTCCACCATGTTTGTCTGCTACCCATGGAGACCAGAAGAGGATGCTGGATCTCTTGGGACCAGAGCTGCAGACAGTTGTTAGCTACCTACCACATGGATGCTAGGAATCAAACCTGGGTCCTCACTTAAGCACAGAACCATTTTCTCCAGCCTCAAGATTTCCTTTACATGTTGAATAGTATTCGTGTTACTCCTTAGTGTTAAAGGGAAAGGCTGTCTATAAAGACTCAGAAAAGGAAGCTCACTAAATTAGATGCGGGATGCTTAAAACAAATCAACAGGCCTGCTTTCCCTGAGACATGGAAGGGGGAAGGTTAAATGCAATTGTAATGGATAAAAGGAAGGGGAAGTTGAAGATATATTATTTTAATATAGACAGTGCTATTAGGGCCTCCTCAGATAGCTTGTGTTCTGTGTTTTGCTTAAGAAGACAAGTTTCAGAAGAATCCATAGTGGCCCCATTGACAAACTTCCAAACCTCTCAAGAACTGACATTATCATTCAAGGCTACATGAAAGAGCAGTGAAACTTTCTGAACAGTGGAGGCAAGGCCAGGTACAATGACACACCAGGGCACACGTTCTAGGCCAGCTGTCTGTAGTGAGACTTCTGAACAAACAAGGAGACACATAATAAAGTGGGGAATAATTAGGGAAGGAGGGGTCTGTGGGATTCCTGGTGGGGTTGATGAGGTTTTGTTTCTTTGTCTTTTTTTGTTGTTTGTTTGTTTGCTTGCTTTTAAAGACAGCATCTCCCTTTGTAGCCTGGGCTGGCCTGAACCTCCCAATGCTGGATTAAAAGCCTATGCTCTCATAACCAGCTAGGTTTTGTTTCCTGAATGGTTAATCTAAAGATTTCTTTCTTTAGCCTTTAAGTATGCATGATATGTGTGTGTGTCTGTGTATGCACATACATATATCATATCTAGGAAATACTCCTTATCAAAGAGATTAATAAAAGATAATTGTTCATTACTATTTGATGAGAGAGTTTAATTCTTTACATTTCTTCTCTTGTTTACTTAACCTTGGCTTACTCTATAAAATGTAGACCGAAGCTAGCAAGAAGGCCCATCAGCTTGCTGCCAGCCCTGTTGATCTTTCAACACCTTGGAGCCTAATGGTGTTGAAAGACAATTGACTCCCATAGTTGTCCTCTGACCCACGTGCAGGCCATTGTGTCATGCGTGTGCACACATGCATGGGGAAATATATGCAAAAAAGTGTTTTTGATTTTTTTTTTAGTGGCAGATGCTTGATTTGAATTCAGGTCTTATGGTTTCTCTAAGTTGACTTTTTAAAAAGTGTGGTTTGAGGGTACTTCCAGAGTTAAAATTAAGCTATTAAATGATAGTGAACTCTCATTAAAGCTCTGAGAGCACAGAAAGACTGCAGCAGACAAGTAAGAGATGTGAGTTCTCTGCCTGCCAGTCATTCCTTCTGGAACAGCTAAACTGATTTTTAACCAGTTATTCTAAAAGTTTCCTAGTGGGTACCCGAGTTTAGTTTTTACTGGTTCTAAATTAAGCAAAGCTTCAAAGACTGAGTAAGGAAAATGTTGGATTGTATATTTAAAATATGAAGCTCTTAAGTCATCAAGAACATTAAGAATGCAGTCATCTAACAAAGAAATCTTCAGTTTAATGCTTATGCAAATGAACTTTCCTGTTTTTAGGCCAAATCTGAAATAGGATCCAGTATGTCCACAATACTGCTGTGAGTATGATTTTACAACCTTCTTAAATGAATTTTCTATTACCTATCTCAAATGATTTGGGGAGATTTCTTATTAGTTCCTTTCTTTATTAAGAAGTATGTCTGAGAAGTAGTTTTCACCTCCACAATTAATGGCTTTGTATGCACACTGTATTGTAAACTGCTTAGCTTTTCACTAAGAGAGCTCAAGGCAAGCAGTACACACAGCAGTGTAGAGGCCAGCAGGAGACTGGCCAGGGCCTAAAACCACATATTTCACCTGTGTTTAAAATTGCCCATGTGGTGTCCCTCTGAAAATGACCTGCTCTCCCCTATGGTTTTCCCATTATCTTTCTTGTAGGGACATTGGAGAACATTGCATTCATCATGATTTGAACAATTTCCTGTTATTTTGACTTGAGTTCTGCTCATTTAATCCTCAGAGCTGGGTATATATAGTCTCTTATGACTTCCTTTTGGTTGTCATAAGCTGTATTTTTGACTTTCATATTTTAACATCCAACCTTATTAGAACCAGCTTAAGCAAATATATGTCATATGTATTAACCAATGGTTTTCTTTGAAGAATGGATTAATGTTTGCTTTAAAACCTACAGAGATTAAAGCACTTGGGAACTATCCATGTCAACTTTAAAAATTACCAATACCAATTATAATTCTTCAAATATAAAATTTTAGGATAAAAGTAAGTTTTTATACCATTAAAGTCATCTATTAATTTCTGGTTTGGAACCCTCTGGACTGGACTGTGTAAAAGAAAGATATACCTATCTAGCTAGCTAGCTGTTTGTCTCTTTCTGTCATCCACCCATCTCTTATCTGTCTGTCCATCCGTGCCTCTGTCTGTCTTAGACAAGGCCTTGCTTTGTAGCCCAAGCTAGCCTGCAATAAGCAATCCTGCTACCTCAGCTACAATTGCATACCTGTGTCCCCCATGGTCAATGGTGTTCAACAGATCCCTCTCTCCCTTTAGTTTTTTAGTTAGGGTCTTAGTATGTAGCCCAAGCCAGCCCTTGAACTCACAATCCTCCTGTCTCAGCTTCCAAAGTACTGGTGTACCACTATGCTTGATAGTCTTCCTTTGTTTTAAAACTTTATTTCCCTGTTCCAAAATAAGATATACGATCACAGGAATTTTTGAAATATAAGTAAGCAAAAATAACAAAGTTAAAATGACCTTTAATTTCAACATGCAGGGATAATCACTGTTACTAATATGTTAATATTTTGTGTATATTTTTGCATTCTTTTATAATTTGTTTTTAAATCATTTCATAAGATACATACAATTTTGGTAGTCTGTTTTCAGTGTACAGCAGATCTTGAAAATATTTCTCTGCCATCGTTATTTTTCTCACAACTGATTAACATTATTTCCTTGAATGTTTGAGCCAATCTTTTACAGCACTTCTTTCTGTTATGGAGGAAGTAGAGAAGAGGAAGGTGTGGAAAACTGATTTCCTCTTTAGACAGACGAGTTTCTCAATGACTCTGAGCTTTCCCTGCCATCTCCCCGTGTCGAGGGACTCACTGCTTGATGTTTTCTGCCTTCCCACGATTACTGCTGTATTTTACCTCAAGTCCCACATGAACTCCAAAGAATTCTCAACCATATATCTAGCTTGTATAAGTTGCACATAAAGTCATCTGTCAGGTGTTGTATGCAGAGCAAAGACTGCACAGGAAATGAGTACCACACCCACACCATGAACCAGCCATCATGCAAGCTGGAGACACAGCCCTCACACGCTGAGTGAAATAATTCCTGGACTGAAGTTGTTTCAGGTGGATGGGGTGTAGAGAAAGGAAAAGCATGATTAACTTACAAGAAAGGCCTTCAAAATGATGGCACGTATTCATCTACGCTTTTCCCGTCAAGCAAATTAAATTCTTTCCCCACACATATCTCTAAATTACCACCCTGTACAAGGAAATTACTGAATCTAACCTTAGGCAGTGGACATCTTTTAGAGTTTACATTTAAGCAACAGATCTCTAAGAATTAATTTTGAGACTGACTTTATTTCTTTTGAAGAAACCGACCTTACTCCAGAATCAATTTTTCAAATATATTTGTAAATGAGTGAGGGTAGCTTCTCATAGTAGATGTGTCTCCATTAGTAAAATACTCATTGTATGGCTTCTATAATTATGGCATGACATTTTCTCCAGGAAAATTGCCAGTAGGGAGAATGAAGTTTCTTTAGTTTGTAGACATATTTCTTCTTATAGAAATTAAATAGTGTGGCAATTTTAGGACTCAGATAGCACTTGAAAGTACTCATTAGTTAATGGAAGAATTTAGCACCGTTATACAGAGTAAGATGAGCACATTTCTCTGAGATTGCTGAAAGATTTTCCAGAACAAATACTGTGGAAAACAAGGAAGCTGCTTAAGGAAGTCGACAGCCCAGGAAGAATGGCAAAATCCTTCTCTTGGTCTTTCCCTCTTCCTAATTGGATCTGTACTAGAAACAGAAACTGCCTAATGTTCGCTTCAAAATAACTTCTCATCTAAGCCATTAGGAAGGTCTTAATGCTATATGCTGCTGTCAATCCTCAATTATGTATGCTAAAAACCAAACACTGCAATCAGAAAATGCCTTGGAACTGATTGGCTTTTTCGATGATACTTTTCACCCCCTTTCAAAATTTGAAAGAAGAAAAGGTAAGTTTAAAATATGATCACAGTCCTTAGAACTGCTCAATGTATAAGTGAATATTTTGTTTGTAAAATACTCTGTTTGGTATTTACTGAACTTTTTTGTGCCAACAATAAAATACATTGGTTGTCTGTTTGTTTGTTTTTCAGTTCACAAATAATAAATATGAAGACTGAACTTTCATTTAACATCCAAGCTCTTGCAGTTTGGGCAAATATATGTTTAGCTAGAAAGTGAGTAATGTTCCCTTTGTTGCTATGCTTCCCATATTCTCGTGTTGAATCTGTGTTTAATATGTGCTGCCAACATTGTTTCATATTTAGAATAACTCCTAATCATTTCTGTCTTAGAGTTTCTTTTGCTGTGAAGAGACACCATGATGACAGTGACTCTTTTATTTATTTATTTATTTTGATTTTTTTGAGATAGGGTTTCTCTGAATTGTTTTGGAGCCTGTCCTGGAACTCACTAGACCTGGCTGGCCTCGAACTCACAGAGATCCACCTGCCTCTGCCTCCCGAGTGCTGGGATTAAAGGCATGCACCACCATTGCCAGTCGACAGAGACTCTTATTAAGGAAAACCTTTAATTGGGGTGGCTTACAGTTCAGAGTTTCAGTCCATTGTCATCATGGTGGGACATGGTGGCGTGCAGACAGACATGGTGCTGGAGAAGGAGCTGAGAGGTCTGTGTCTTGATCCCCGGGGCAGCAGGGATCTGTGCCCACACTGGGCATAGCTTCTGCATAGGAAACCTCAAAGCCCGCCTCCCCAGTGACACACCTACTCCAAGAAAGCCTCCTGATGGTGCCACTCCCTTTGGGGGCCATTTTCTTTCAACACCACAACTTCTGTTAAGGCAAATATATACTGTTTTATGATTACAAATAAGTGACTTGAAAGATTGGCCATTTGATCGTCTCAAACCTTTGATTTGATCCTTTACTCTGCCCATAGCTAATTTTTATTATTGACTTACAAAAGAAGCCTATTACTATATAATTCCTCCAATAGTTAAAAAAAGAAAAAAGCCTTCTTGTCAGGCATGGTGGTGAATGACTGTAAGCCAGCAGCATCTGAGGCAGAACCAGCATGAGTTTGGGGCTGGGCTATATAATAAAACTGTTCTGTTCTATTGGGTGCATTTGTTTGTAAATACACATATATCTATTGTTCTATTTGCCTAACAATTAACATTATGAGATAATGTTAACAACATTTTCCCATACTAAAAAAAAGATTGTTTAAATATCTACATAATGTATTCCACCATGTCATCATAAAAAAATAATTTATGTATCATCTGTGATGCTGAGGATTGAACCCAGTGCCTTGTACATATATAGCAAGCATCCTACCACTGGGCTGAGATGTATCTGAAGATGTACTAGGAAATTAAATGTTCTCCTGTTTGAGGGTCATTAAACTGCTTCCACTTTTTCACTATTATAAGTGGTATAAAGCATTCATGGATTAATGTTTACTTGCATGTCTGGTTATTGCTTGGAGGTGTTAAGTCTGAACTCCAGGTTGCTGACACAGTGATTGTGTATTAAGGGTATTGGTAATTACCAAATCACCTTTTCTCAAGGATGGCACTAGTCATGGCTCTGCGGAGTCCTTACTTTGAAATTTGAATTTTAAACTTAATTTCTAAGCATGAAAGAAAGTGCATTTTTATTTTGCATATGCTCGATGACTTCTCGGATCTGACAGGATTGCTAGTGTGTGTTTTTTATGAGTTCCTATCTGCTGCTGCACCATTGCAAGTTAACTTGGCTGCAATATATAATTGTGTTTGCTAGTGCTCTGGTATCAACTATTCCACAGAGATTTTAAATTTTTTGCTCTTTCTTAAAAATAGAGTTTTAAAGCTACAGATACTGCCCTATACTTTAAAGCTGTATGTATTATTGATATTCATACACATAGGTAATTTTGGACACACTTTTGTTTTTTGTAGGGACAGACGGCAGTCTTCCTTAGTGTGGCTTTTCACTGGGATGCTTTGTGTTTATTCGCTATTCTTTGCTTGGAGAGCAAATTTAGATCTTTCAAAACCACTTTTCATGGGTGTGGTAAGTTTTACCTTGATAGACTTTTTAAACAGTAAATTTGTGAAGATTGAACAAATTTGCCTTTCATGAACTTTGTCAAAGGACAAACTATTTAAGAAACAGTAAATATATTCTGTGTATAATATATACATATACACACACACTCACACACACACACACACACACACACACACACACACACACAATCCCAGCACTTGGGAGGCTGAGGCAGGAGGATCAGGAGATTACGGCCAGTGTTTGTTACATAGTGAGTTTGAGACCACCCTGAGAGCCACATGAGCTCCTGTCTCAAACAAGCAAGCAAACAAGTAAAGTGTATAGTTAACAGAGTAGTTAAATAGACAAAAATAAACCCAAGATAGACTTAATAATTTTGTGTCTGCGCTCTTACAAATATAAAAACAACTGCATTTTGTCTGGAATTCCTTTTAGAATAGCAAAAGAAATATTTGTTAAGCAGAAGGGGAAGGGAGCTCCTACCCTGTCTTCTGAAGCCTGTGCAAACAAGCATGATTCTTATATTTTTTTCTGGCAGTTGTCTCTGTGACTGAGATAAGGATTTTTGTTTTTATTTTGTTTTGTTTGAGACAAGGTCTTTTTATAACCCAGTCTTTCTATAGTGCATGGTTCTCAACTTTCCTAATGCTATGACCCTTTAATACAGTTCCTTATGTTTTTCTGACTGCCAACTATAAAATTACTTGTGGCTACTTCATAATTTTGATTTTGCTACTGTCATGAGTCGTAATGTAAATATCTGATATGCAGGATATCTGATACGTGACCCCTGTGAAAGGGTCATTTGAAACCCAGGGGGTCCTGATCCACAGGTTGAGAACTGCTGCTGTAGTGAATTCACTGTCTTCCTGCCTCAGTTTCCCGAGTGCCAGGGCCACGGTCAGAGCCACCTTCCCGGCTTCTGTAGTTCTCACACTAGAAACTATAGATGTGAAGTAGTCCCGTTTTGAAAGCTGATCCCAATTGGTCCTTTGTGTGTATGGTCATGAAACCTAATGACTGATGCTCTTCTTGACTAAGCTTTGAACCAAGCGAGAGAGAAGATAAGCTGCTCCAAGCTGGTGGGTGATCACCTTTATCTGAGGAAGCTGTGGCTGGAGAGTGTAACGTGTTCCTGTGAGCAGGGGAGCTTAGACAGACAGGGTTAGCAACCAGTCACAAGCAGTGCTACACACCATTCGGCCTTACCAACTGGAGCCTCCTGTGGACCACTCACCTGCAGTAGAAACAGGAAGACGAGGGCTGTGTTGGCCTGGTGGAAGCTGCCAGTCTTCTCATCAGATTAGTTCTCTTCATCCTACAAAAAGACATCAGGGAGGTGTGTGGGGAAGGCAGGTGTTTCTCCCTAGAGTAAAGCCAGAGCATTTCTCTATCTTTTTCGCCTGCATTGCTGGAGCAGAGATGAAGCCTGTAGTTCTGAGGTGACTATGCAGGCACATGCCAAATTAGGAAGGAGAATCACTGGAAATTGGAAAATAAACTGACCTAGAAGAGAAGTGAATTCACTAGGCCTAATGACAATAGGTATAAGTAGCTACGGGAGAGTGATAAATGTTTTTTAAGCTATGTAAGTTCCGACTGATCACTTAAGCCTGTCAGCTGGCCATACTGTCTGCATGTCTCCTTCCCAGGTGGAACGATTCTGGATGCAGAGCAATGCGGTCGTGTCTGTTCTCGCTGGCCTCGGTCTGGCCACACTTGTGTCGGAGACTAACCGAGTGCTGAACTGCAATGGGACTCAGTATCTGGAGTGGCTGTCAGCAACTCTTTTTGTAGCTTATCAAATATACTCAAATTACAGGTAACAACATATAGTTCTTTTCTGAAAAGTAGTACTTAACACTAGAGATATTTGCTGAAGTGGATTCTAGGACTTCCGTTCCTCCTCTGATTTCTAGAGTCAGTGAAAACAGCTGGGTGGGATGCCCGGCTGTAAAGCTGTGACGTTTGTCACGCCTCTGGCAGCGGTGTGGATCAAGGCCATCGTAAGCGAGTGGAAGTCATGCATAGAGACCATGTATTTACCTCTAAGAGCTAGAGAAATACACTGAAGAATCTAGATATATGTAAAATTTCATAATTAAGATACCCTTAGATGGAAAATTAAAAGACTTGGGGTTCTTGTGTATCCCTTTATGTTCCAAAATTTTCATCTTTTGAGTAATACTTGACCGTTTTCTAATTAACCATGTAGTAGAGAGTATTCATCATTTTGAAGTTAAGGTCTAAAAATTAACTATCACAGACTATAAGTATTATAGTGTTTTTTCAAATTTTTAAAATAATCTTATAATGAAAATCTCAGAGTAAACAAAAAGTTTTTCAATTATTAAATGACAGTTCATTTATTTATAGCAGTATCAAGTTACAAAAGTAAAAGAGCAAGCCCTTTAAATGATGTTATAGTGATTTTGACTAGTACTATTTTAAGAGATTAAATTTTTGTCATGCAACTTAGCTTTTTAAAACTAATTTTTGCTGGGCATGGTAGCACATGCTTTTAATATTAGCACTCGGTAGGCTGAAGCAGGTGCATCTCTGTGAGTTCCAGGGCAGGCGGAGCTACATAGTTAAACCCCTGTCTCTAAATTAATTAATTAGTTAATTCTTTAGGTTAACATGCGAGGAGTACACTTCATTTAGCATCTTCCAGTATGCACCGTTGCATTTTATTCTCATGTTCCCTTCCCCATCGGGTAGGTTTCCTTTCTGTTATCCTCTCTATTTTCACCTTCCTTAAGAACTACCTGCAGGGAGCCGGGAGAGAGGGGAGGGGAGGGAGAGGCAACTGGGATTGGAATGTAAAAAATAAACTAATTTAAAAAAAACGAAAAAAAGAACTACCCACATGACCCCATTTTTAGTCTTGTGACTTGCAAACACACACACAAGTATATGTTCTTGCATACATAGACATTTATACATATGCATGTGCATAGATACATAGATGTACATACATATATATGTACATACATACACATAATTTTAAATCTTGGATCCACATATAAGAGAAAACTATAGTATTTGTCTTTCTGGGTGTGACTATTTAGCTATCATAGTAATTTACAGTTGCATCCATTCTCTTGAAAATGTCATGATTTGGTAGTTATTGCTGTATAAAATGCCAGTGTATATGTATACCATCTTTTGATTATCTGCTTACATGTTGATGAATTACGCTGCTTCCTGACTAGTGTCCACAGTCAGGACACTACAAACACGGATGCATAAGCATGTCTCTTGTAATCGTATGGAAGCCTTTAGATCATAGTGAAGAGTGGTGTAGCTGAGTAGTACAGTACTCTTTTCCTTTGTGGCTGCACAAGCTTGCTTTTCGAGCACTGAGTAAGGATTCCTTGCATCCTTGCTGTCTGTTGTTTGTTTTCTTAGTGGTAGCAATGCTGATTGGAGTGAGCTGGAATGTCTAAACAGTTTTAATTTGCACTCCCCTTGTGGCGAAGGACATGAGACCTGTTTTCAAGTAATTGGCTGTTCTGTGATGTTTTACTCTTTTGGCTCTTTAGTCTTTTGGGGGGACCCATCACCCAGCTCCCAATTAAATCACACAGGGAAGCTTATTCTTAGTTAAGAATGCCCAGCCTTAGCTTGACTTGTTTCCTGCCAGCTTTTCTAACTTAAATTATCCTGGCTAACTTTGGCCTCTGGACTTTTTCCTTTTCTTTTTTTTTTTTTTTTTTTGGTTTTACGAGACAGGGTTTCTCTGTATTGTTTCGGAGGCTATCGGCCCAGCCCGGCCTCGAACTCACAGCGATCCGCCTGCCTCTGCCTCCCAAGTGTTGGGATTAAAGGTGTGCGCCACCACCGCCCAGCTGACTTTTTCCTTTTCTTACTTTTGGTTTACTCCTCGGCTGGCAGTGTAGCTGGGTGGCTGGCCCCTGATGTCCTTCCTCCTCCTCCTCTGTCTACTTCTCTTCCTCCTCATGGCGTCTCCTCTTTCTCCTGCTGCTTATGCTCTCCGCCTGCCAGCCCCGCCTGTCCTTTCTCCTGCCTTGATATCGGCCGTTCAGCACTTTGTTAGACCATCAGGTGTTTTAGACAGGCAAAGAATCACAGCTTCACAGAGTTAAACAAAAGTCACACATCTTTACATCGTTAAACAAATGTTCCAGAGCATAAACAAATGTAGCATACCTTAAAATAATATTCTACAGCAATTGGCCATTTGCATTTCTTTTGAACACGATGCATTCCATTTATTCACCCATATATTGATTGTTGTTCTTGTCTGTCTGTTGTGTTACTCCCCGTCCAATGTGTAGTTGGTGATGATTGTTTTTCCGTTCTGACGGTTGCTTCCTTGGCTGTGCAGAAGCTTCTTAATTTCATGTAATTCCACCTGTCACCTCTTGGGATTATTTCCTGTGCTAATGGATCTTGTTCAGAAAATCCTTGCCTATGCCTGTATTGTGAAGTCTTAAGTCCTATATAAAGGGCTTTGTGTGTGTGTGTGTGTGTGTGTGTGTGTGTGTGTGTGTGTAGGATAAGAAATATGGATCTAGTTTAATACAGAGATCTAGTTTTTCCAGCATCATTTGCTAAGCAAACTATCTTTTTTCAAATTGTTTTTGACAGGTTTGTCAAAATCTGGTGGCTGTAACAGTGTGGATTTTTTTTCTGGATCTTCTTTCTACTACTGATCTACTTGTCTGTTTTTATTCTAGTACCGTGTTTTGTTTTGTTTTGACTGTGGCTCAGTAATGTAGTATGAGACCCATATTGTGATGGGATCAACACTGTTCTTTCTGCCTAGGTCTGTGCTTCTGTATGGATTTTAGTGCCTTAATTTTGTGAAGAAGACATTAGGGTTCTGATAGGAATTATGCAGAATCAATTAGTTGTTTTAGGTACTATTGCCATTTCCACTATATTAATTCTGCCTAATCATGAACATGGGAGATCTTTCCATCTTCTAGTATCTTCTTGAAGTTCATCAGTGACTTAAACTCTTTACAGGTCTCTTACCTTCTTGATTAGGTTTTTTCCTAGATATTTTTCAAAAAGATTGTGAATGGGAATTTTTTTTCACTGATTCTTTCTCTGCAAGTTCATTATTGGCATATAGAAAACTGGTAGTGTTGATATTCAGATTTTGTATCTGATACTTGGCTGAAGTGCTTATCAGGTCTAAGTTTTCTGGTAGAATTAAGATCCTTTAAATAAAGGATTATGTTGTCTGCAAATAGGAATAAATTGACTTCTTTCTTCCTATTTGTATGCCTTTTATTTGTTTATTTGTTATCTTCCTGCTCTAGCTAAGACTTCGAGAATTATATTGAATAAGACTGGAGAGGAAATAGTAGGCTCCCTTGTCTTGTAGGTTTTAGAGGAAACTCCCTCACTTTCGCCCCACTCACTATAATATTGCCTACAGGCTTGTCACACATAGCCCTTAGTATGTTGAGGTATGTTCCTCCTATTCTTAATGACTTCGTGACTTTTGTTATAGAGAAGTGTTGAGCATTGATGAAGACTTTGTGCATCAATTAAATTAAGATGCACAGAACATCTTAAGATTATTATTAAGATGATCATACAATTTCTGTCCCTGTCTTTATGTGCTAAATTAGACTTGCTGATTTGTGTATGTTGGAACAGTCTTAATCTCTAGGGTTAAAACAACTCCGCCATGGCATGTGATTTTCTTAACGTGTTCTTGAATTCAATTTCTAAGAATTTAAAAGATTTATAATTTTATTTTAAATTTTGTATATGTGGGGAGAAATGCATGTGAGTGCAGGTATCCACAGACACCAGAGATACTGGATCACCCTGATGCTAAAGCTATAGGGCTTTGTGAGCCCCCGTTGTGGGTGCTAGGTACCAAATTCGGCTCTGCTGGAGAGCAGTGTGTGCTCTTTACTAAGCCAGTTTCCAAAAAACTTATTCGGAACTCTTGTATCCTTAGTCGCCAGGGAAATTGCTCTGTGGTTTCTTCTGCTGTGTCCTTATCTGGTTTTAGTTTGGTAGCACTCACTCCATTTCTGTCTTATAGAACAGTTTAAGGAACATTGGTTGTTAAACATTTGATAGAATTCCGCCAATTAATTCATATAGACATATGAGAGTAGGATTTTTATTAATGTTTCAATCTCAGCATTTTTATGGGCCTACCTAAGTTTATGTACTCTTGATTTAATTTTGGTAGTTCATATATGCCTGAGAATTTTATCTATCTATTCTAGATTTTCTAATTTTTTAAAAACAAGTTTTCAAAGTAGTCCATGATGGTTCTCTGAGTTCAATTGGGATCTGAGGAAATCTTCCTCTTTTCGGTTCTGATAATATTAATTTCAGCCAGTCAGTCACTGCCTCTTGGTTGGTTTGTTTAGGGGTTGGTCAGTCATTATATAAAGGTTCTGATAATTGTGCTTTCATTTTTATTTGGTTCCAGGAACTCTTCATTTCCACCCTGACTTTTTTAAATGACTCACTGTTCATTAAAGAGTATAATTAATGTTCCGTCTCCACATGTTTGTGGCTTCTGTAATTTTTCTTGTATCGATTTCTGGTTTTATTATACTGTGATTTGGTGTATGTAAGGGTTTTTGTTATTTTGTGTTTGTTAAGTCTGGTTTATGGTCTAGATTATGACCTGTTTTGGAGAAACTTCCATAAGTTGCTGAGATGAATATGCATCCTGTTTTTGTTGCCATATATCTGTTAAGTCCATTTGGTCTGTGATGTAGTTTACCTGTGACATTTCTTGTTGGTTTGTATTTTGGATGACCTGTCTAGCAGTGACAGAAGGATATTGAAATCACCTAGTGTCGATATCTCTGAACTTTTACGTCCATGAAGCTAGTTTTTGAAATCGGGACTGCTCCCAGCATCTGATGCCTGTGTATTTACAGTTTTCATTTTGTTGATTTTGTTGTTCTCTGTTAGTCGTCAGTAGCCGTCCTTACCTCTTCTGGGTAATCTGGGGTTGGAGTTCACTTATTGAACATCAGGGCAGCTGTGCTAGCTTTGTCTTTGTCTTTGCCTTTGTCTTTTAGTGCTTCCATTTGCTTCCACCCACTGGCTTTGTCTGTGGGTGTCTTACAGTGTGTCTTCTGTCACTGTGCACAGTGTCATTGAAGTGTCTTCTCCCGACTGTTTGGCAGTCATGAACCACATTAGTTTGTGCTTGCCTTGAAATTTCTTCATCTCTCCTTCAATTTATTTATTTATTTATTTTGTTTGGTTGTTTTGTTTTGTTTTGTTTTTTTACTTGGTGGTCGGTTGCTTGGTTTTTTTGAGACAGGGTTTCTCTGTATATCCCTGGCTGTCCTGGAACTTACTTTACAAGACCAGGCTGGCCTTGAACTCAGAGATCTACCTACCTCTGCTTCCCAAGTGTTAGGATTAAAGGTGTATGCTGCCACCACTTCCTTTGGATTTTTTCGGTTTTTGTTTTGTTTTGTTTTGTTTTCCACCATCAGTTTTAAAGGACACCTTTGCTGTATATAGCAGTTTTACTTTAGGAACTTAAAAGCTATCATCCTGTGCTTTCCTGGCTTTGGGACTGTTGATGGAAGATCTGGTGTTTCTGCTGGTTCTCCCTTTATGGGTGAGTTGGTGTGTTCCCTTTACATCTGTTTTTCCTCCTTTGCTTCAGTTTGGACATCCTGCCTTATCATGTGTTTAAGAGTGTCTTCTTCAGCCATGTGTACATGGGTTCTTAATGCTTCTTGCTTTAGGAAACATTCCGCTATAATTTTATCAAATAGGTTTTCTGTGTCTTTAGTGTTTTATTTCATCTCCTTCTAGCTTGTGGGTTCTTAGATTTTTACCTCTTGATTATATCCCAGAGTTTGTGGATATGATGGTCATGTTTGCTTATTTTTTCCCTTATTGATATTTGAATGCCAGATTTCATGACCCTTGACGTCTCTTTCTGAGTACTGCTTTGACTTGGGCATATCTGCTGCTGATGCTCCCGCATGCTTCCATTTGATACATTAACTTTCCCCTTCCGACCCTCAGCTTGCTTCCGTTCACCACCTGTCAGTCTGTTTTCTGCTGGATTTTTCTCCCATGTTGCTTGTTTCTTATCCTTTTGGTTTACTTTTTTCCTCTGTGTTGCTAACTTTCCTCTCTAGGATTGGATTAAATTTTCTGCTTGTTGGGAATCTCCTTTTAGATCATCATTGTAACCAGAAAAAAATCGAAATATTTACCTGGAATTTCACCTATCTCAGTATGTTTGAGTTCACTGGTGGAGGAATTATGATCTTTTGTGGGGTCATGTTTCTTGCATTTCTGCAATGGATTTCTATGGCTATTGTTTTGGATATCTCTTCTGGATATGAGGGAGGATCTTATTGAGAAACCTACTCTTGAAGGCTCAATATTCAGTGCCACTTAGTGAGGAGGCAACAAATTGCTATAGCAGCAATATCATCAAACCATACAGAATATGTGAATACATTTAATAATTGCTAAGTCCACTACAGCATTACCAGTTACCACAGACTTGAAAATGGCAAAACTTTGAAAAATGGACAATAAAGTAAAGTTATTTAGAATAATGGTGGAAATAGTAAAGGAAGGAACTCAAGAAGAGAAGAGGGAAAGGGCAGGGCAGGAGTAAATGGAGGAAGAAAGAGGAGGAGGAGTGGAGAAGAGAATTGTGGGAGAAGAGAAGGGGAAACGGCAGCGGGGTTTCCTCAGTACCAGAGAGGCTCAGACAGAAGCCAGACAAGTGAGAGAAAGGATGAACACAGAAGAGAATGCTTTTGTTTTGTTTGAGACATGGTTTCTTTATGTAGCCCCAGCTGTCCTGGGACTCACAGAGATCCACCTGCCTCTGTCTCCTGAGTGCTGGGATTAAAGGTGTGTGCTGGCTGAAAACGTTTTGAAAGCTAGTAATGTAAACAGAGGAAGAGAGAAAGGAGATAAAAAAAAAAAGCTAAGAAAGAGAAAATGTGTTGCCCCCAGTAGAAAAATATGTAAACAAAATTATATGAATGCTTAAAGGAGGATAACAAAGAAAAACATTTATTTTTAAATCGTTTCTTTAAAAATATTTTAATTGCGTTATATTTTATTTACTTCAAATTGGGAGGCGGTGGGCGGGCCGCAGGGAAGTGTGAAGGTTAGAGGACAGCGAATCTTCCATCATATCTTACAGTCCCAGGGGTCAGACTCAGGTCACCAGGCTTGGCAGCAAGTCCTTTACCCTCTGAGCCATCCTGCCATCATGTGAAAAAGGTTTGAAACTTCTGAAACTACAGTAAAGATCCTGCTAAATGTGTAGGGAAAAAAAAAAAAAGAAAAGAAAAGAACCGAGGGGGCTGGGGGTAAGGTGTGCTACAACAGCTTCTTTTGGTCCTTGAGAATCGGAGGCGTCTACTTATGCATGGGTCAGGAGCCGTTTGAACTTGTGGCTCCTGTGGCTCCTCACTTATGCCGTGGAGGAGTCTGTGTTGAACAAGTTGTCCAATGTCCACCAGAGCCGTCCTCACCGCAGCCATTTCCCTTCTCTGTGTACTAGGGCCCTCTGCTGGCCACCCTGGGCTTTGCGTTCTGTGTGCTGGGAAGAGTCCCTCACCTGATCCTCCCTAGATGATGGGGCTGGAGGCTGGAGTGTCTCCCATGTGTCTTGTTGGGACGCAGCCCTGGCACTGACGTGAACACAGGCGTATCGTCCTGCTTTCACGGCCTTGTGAGCTTGCGTCCCCTGCTGGGCGGGTACAGCTGTGGGTGTCATGTTCACCCCTGGAACCTGAGTTCTCAGACCCTACAGCAATGAAAAGGATAGGCGGCTGCAGATCTTGACCTCCCTGACACCTCAGACTCGGAACTGTCCAACTCCGGGGAAACTGTTGCTGGGTTCCCCCCATGACGCGGTGTGCCCACTCCCAGACCCCCCCCCTCCGCCCCCCAACCGCCCCCCCAGCCTGAGTCCTGAGCTGCCTGCCGTTTATTCCCCTCCTGTTGTCAGTGTCCGTCTGTCCCTCCTATTCTCCACAACAGCCTCTCTCGCCTTCTCTCACCCACAGGCTGTGGCAGGTCAGATGAAGTCTCCTGACCAGGGGATGTTCCGTGACCTGTAGCCCACAGAGTGGCTCAATTTTCAGAATGGGCAAAGTGGGGTTTTTCTTCTTGGCTGACTAGTTTTCTGGGGGAATTACAGTCTTAGTAAAACCCCACTCCTGGACTCGAGGCTCAGGAGAGCTGTGGGCCTTCCTGAGGCGGGCTACCAGGTTGTGCCCGGCTTACCTTTGGAAGTCCCTCAGGCAGAGCCGCCCCACGTCAGGTGCCGAGTGGCAGAATTGGCCCCGGCTCTTGAGTGCTGGCGTCTTTGCTTCTGTCCTTTCCCAATACGCTTCAACTTTCTTCGTAGGCTTTCGGAGCTCTTTCTCTGCCTCTGTCTTTGGATAAAGTCTGGTTTTGTTTTTGTTGTGATCTGACTCTCCCCTTCGCTGCCCCTCATAGACGTAGCCTCTAGTGTACCATCTTACACAAGACCCTGACCACCTCGCTTTCGACACTAAGTCTCTTCATCACCATTACTTGTGAGGTGGTCTACACATCCTATCAGTGGTCCCTAGGAGAAGTCACTAAGCCATGTGTGTCCCCACCTTACCCAACCCACCCTCAGCACCAGTGATGTGCGCACGCGGGGCAGTTGCTCTGGTTTTCTTTTATTTACCCCCGAGAATGAAATGAATAGCAAGTTTCCTGGTGACAAAATGTAAGCTAACACTAGCAAAGTAGAGGGTGTTCCTTGTAGGAGACAGTCATCACTGTATGCGTTGCAAGGCGGGGTGGGGCTCTTTGCCTTGTGATACCAACCTAGTGATTCTACTTAGCACCTCCTCAGCCCAGAAAAGAGGATGCTACAAAGACAAGGAGTTACAGTGTGTGTGTGTGTGTGTGTGTGTGTGTGTGTGTGTGTGTGTGTGTGTGTGTGTGTGTGTGTGTGTTTCGGTGCCTTTTCCTCCGATAGTCCTGTCTTCTTTCATATATTCTCTGGACGTACTCACCTCTCCTTTAGAAAGCCCACTTCCTTCTTGAGAAGAGCGGTGCTACAGTAGTTAGCGTTGGCAGGTCAGCTAGGGGGCCACAGACAGCTCGGCACATGCCAGTCAGTCTCCAGTGACTTCCTGACCCCCAGGGAGAGATGGGGGAGGTGGTGGGAAGCCTCGACACTGTACATGTCATAGTCACACGGGGCCACATTAGCTCTTGTCAGAAATATCAGGCTTCCTACTCTGCTTGTAGTTCTGACTATTCCTTTGGAGGAAATGGGATGAAGACGAAATCACCTTAATTCTACATAGTCAGAGAAACTACTTTGACAACTGAAATTGGACTACTTGGAGTTATGCAGGAAACAGACGGTCTGCTTCCCACGGACGTGCCTGTGGACTGGTGGAGGGAATGAGTTTCACATCTCCAGAAGAGCTGAGGTGATGCTGAGCATGGCTGCTCGCGCCTTTACTCAGGAAGCAGAGGCAGGCAGGTCTCTGAGGTCGAGGCCAGCCTGGTCTACAAATCCAGTTACAGAACAGCCAGACTTACCCAGAGAAGCCCTGGTCTCAAAACTAAACAAAAGACTGAGTTGATGAGCCGCTCTCCCACGGGGGTGCCTTCTCAGAGGGCAGCCGGTGGAGTGTAGCACTGAGTTGGGTGCCGAGGGAAAGCGTGGAGAAGAAGCCGGGCCGCTTAAAGTGGTGCACGTGTGCTGCTGTTAATTTGCTGAAAAAACTCTTTCCATTTAGCATTTGTGACCAAAGAACCAATAATGTGATCGATCAGTTTGCACGAAACCTTCTGGACTCCATGCCTCGGGATGCCATCATCTTACTCAGGGGAGACTTGCCAGGGAATTCTCTCCGTTACTTGCATTACTGTGAGGGGCTGAGGCCAGATGTTTCCCTAGTGGATCAAGAAGTAAGTATAAGAAAAATATGCTCAGCATAAAGCAACTTTAACCGCATCGTTCATGGTGGCCTATGCCTGTGACTTGTGAAACCAGTCTGAGCAAACAGTGTGATCCATCCACATAAACAGACAGATAAGCATTTTTAAAAAATATGGTTGGGTAAACTTTTCATAGTCATTCTTTTGTGTGGGGGGGTTTCTATGGGGAGAGGAGATAATTTTTTTCTTTTGACTAGGGTGACCTGCCTTGGCCTCCTAACTGCCAGGGTTACCAGTCTACACCACAGCTGTAGTCACTCAGGATGGCTAGATCACAGTCCTGTTTGTTTGTTTATCTGCAACCAGTTCACCAAGCAAATAACACTGAACACTGACCTACCTATGAGAATTAAATTAATTGAATATAAAAAATGTGGGCAAGGAAACATTTCATTTAAATTGGAAATTGTTAATTACGACATGGCTATAGAATTTTTATGTAAACTTGATGATGACGAAGCAGAATCGATGGGGGTTCACCTTTTAAGATCACCCCTGGCTGCTCTTTCAAGGGATCCAGACCTGATTCCCAGCATCCATCTATACAACTAACTCACACCATCCATAGCTCCAGGTCCACAGAATCCAATACCTGCTTCTGGCATCTAAGGGTACCAGGCATGTACGTGGTACAGACATACACGCAGTCAAAATACACATACACATAAAATTAAGTTAAAAAATAAGAAAGTGATTACTTTTTAAAATTAGGCTATTAAAACAGTTTTCCTGGGCTGGGAGCATGGCTGACTTGGTAGAGGGCTTTCCCAGCTCACACAGATACCCTCAGCATCATTTAAATTGGGTATGGAGGTGCATGCCTGTAACCTCAGCACTTAGGAGGAAAAGCTGGAGGAGCAGAGGTTAAAGGTCATCCTTAGCTACTCACAGATGTCAAGGCCAGCCTCATGTACACAAGACTATGTCTACAAAGAAACAAGCAAATTACAAAACAAAGCAAGTTTCTGAAACTGAAAAATTATACTTAATTATAGGATTTGTTATTTTAATCAAAAATGCCAAAAAAAGAGAGCAAATCCAGTATTCCTTAGGGAAGAGAGAAACTCGGAATCGTGAAGGAGTAGTGTGACTGGTCCGGCTGAGATGCCATCTGGCTCTTCTAGTAAGTGATGGGAACCTCAAGAAAATGGGTTTGCAATTGCCGTGGGTGGGGATTTCACACATTGTGCCTATGAGCAGTTTGCTCAGGTGTGAGCAGTACAGACAGGAAGACTTGAGCATCAGTCCCAATTCTGAGATCTAGGTCTGGTTGATAACTTAGTATGCACTACAGTTGCAAGCATTGTTTGAAACAGCAGCAGTCGTGGTTGGAAACCATGAATTTCAAAGAACATCACACTCTAAGGTCCTCATTCTGTTCGTTTCTTGGATGTGTGATAAGACTAATGATTTTTCCTCTGAGGACTTCTGTTGACTTAGTCGTAGATGGAAAGATGCTTTTGAACACTTCAAATAGAACGCCCAACTAGGAGCAGTTTAAACTGTGACACTTCTGTGTCACAGAGCAAGTTCTCCGGAACGTGGAGGTCTTAGGACTGATGATGCAAACAGTGATGTCAGTGGTCTTCTAGTTTGTGTTTCTGGCTCTGTGATAAAACACTGACTAAAACCAAGTTTTAGAGGAAAGTGTTTGCCTGGCTTACGGGTTGTAGACCATCATGGCAAGGGAAGCCAAGGCACAAACTCGAGGCAGGAGCTGGAGCAGAGAGCACAGAGGAACACAGCTTACTGACTTGCTCTCCATAGCTTGCTTACTCTGCCCAGGGCTGGTACCACCCATAGTGGGTTGGGCCTTCCCGAATCAGTCATTAATTAAAGCAATGCACCACAGATGTGTTCACAGGCCAGCCTGATGATGGAAATTATTATCCTTTGAGGGCCTTCCTTCCAGGTGACTCTAGCTTGTGTCCAGTTGTCAGAAATTAACCAGCACAGATGCTAGTTTCAAACCTCACATCCTTAAACAAAGCAGGATGCTTCTTGGCCCTGCTGGCATAGCTCTTTGTTGAGAGTTAACAGGTTTTTCAGAGCTCCCAAAGACTTAAGCAATTTAGTTCATAATGCCCACTTCTAAAACACTCAATAGCAAAGGTGAATCACTAGGCCTGAACACATTGCTGCCTGAGAGAGTTGATTGTAATTGGGAAAGTGTTTGTAAAAAAAGGAGATAGTAGCTATTAATGGGCCAACAATGGTATCTCATAGAATCATAATAAGGTTATTATGAGAATTACCCGAGGTGTATTAATTTCATAGCATATTGCTCAATTGATGTGAATAACCCCAAGTACTGAAACTGTTCTTTGGGTTGTATAATATATGCACTTAAAATTAATTTGTCTTTTGTTAATTGAATGACTTATACAAGGTAAGTAAAATATAAGCACAATTGCTTAGACGATCATATTCAAATGTAAACAGGAGTCTTTTCTATGAAAATACAGAACTAAGTATACAAGTAAGAAAAGTGATTTTTTCCTGATAATTTATTTTAATGAAAAGAAATGGGAATCTAGTTGTGGTGACACTTACCTATAATCTCAATCAGTTCTCAGGGGCCACCAGCAGGAGTGTCAAGAGTCTGAAGCCATCTGGGTGTGATGGCACACACCTTTAATCCCAGCGCTTGGGAAGCAGAGACACGCAGATCTCTGAGTTCAAGGCCAACCTGATATACAAAGTTAATTCTAGACCAGCTAGGGTGACTCATCTCAACAAAGCAAAACAAAAAAGTTTGAAGCTAGCTTATGTCGCCAACGAAATACTCTTTGTAATTAAAGTCCCTGCCTCAAAAATCAACACAAAATAAAAAATCTATATGTGATTAATTGAAGACTACTAATAAATTCAGATAATTTAACCAAAAAGGTTTTAAGCTTTGAGGTCTAGGTTATTATATAATTGAGCTTCCCAAGGGCAGAGATTATATCTTATTGTTATAAGTGAGCAACACGTAAGAAGATGAGTGTAGCAATGATACATTTGTGTGTTTTGCCTTGGTTATTTGGTCTGCCCATCAAAGATATTTCAACTACAACTAAAATAACTGGAGTAGTGTTGTGTGCTGTGCAGTGTGCTAGGTACACAGAGATGAGAACATACAGTCCTTCCCTGTGGGAGCTCAGGCTGGTGAGGCGTAGGCCTAGAACCAGACGGGAGGTAGGTGCGGAGGCTGGGGGTGGAGGACTTCCCAGGGCTGTGCCTTTGCTGATTCTGAGAATCGATCCATTCCCTGAGATCGGGGATCATCATGGGAATTGGCAGGTGCCTGGGGATGAAGTAAAGGCAGGGAAGTGGACCTCTCTTAAGCCATGAAGCCTAAGGGTCAAGTCATTTTTAAAGGCAAATGGTGCCACATTCCTTGGTTTGCTGGAATGTCTTTTTCCCAATTAATGAGTATATCTATATTTTTGAGCCTTTCTGTGGCTATTGGTGAACCTGGTATTTTGCAACATGTGTGGCCTCCTTGTGATCTCTCTGACAGATGATGACTTATGAGTGGTATTTACCCAAGATGGCAAGACATCTACCAGGAGTGCACTTTCCTGGGGACCGGTGGAACCCTGTGGAAGGAATATTACCTAATGGGATGGTCACATTCAATCTTTATCACTTTCTGGAAATGAATAAACAGTAAGCATTCTTTTCATATAATAGCTTTTCTAAAATTGTAAGCTTTTCTAAAATTATTTCTGAAGCAGCTGTGCCTCATCCAAAAGACCAATTTTCTACCTATTTCCCTGTCACCAGTGAGATTATCTTTGTAATTAAATTGAATATCTGTGCATAAATGAGGCCAGGCAGAAATAAATGTTATTGTTCTGGGTAAAAGAAAAATAAAAACAGATTAGCAAGAACAGCAAATAAGATCTTAGCACAATCCTGAGAAATTGGAGATGTGCCTGCCTACTTGAAATCATTGCAGGTGGATCGCAAGCAATTACGGTTCCCTCCTGATCAGCACTATGGCCCCTTTTAAGTGTAAAGCGTTTTTGTTTTGTTTTTTTCAGGAATAATCACTATATAAAAATAGCATAAGCATTTCTATAAAGGATAAAACATTTTTATAAATAAGAAAAACACCTACAGTTTCTGCTAACTGAGGGTAAAATAAGAGAATTGTCAATTCTGTACGTACTTGAGAACATAAAATGATTTGTAGTTTGGGTCAAGACTAAGTGAGCCTCAGTGGTGAGTTCTAGCATCGCTTCTGTCTGAGATGCTTGGGGCTGTCCCCAGCTTGAAAAAGAAGCATTTAGATCATGTTTTGTTTTTTCTTGTGAAAAGGACTTAAAAATCTTTTTAGATAAGTTCCAGTGTCAAGTTATTCTTTGGTAGGAACACAAAGTGTGTTTTCAGTGTACTGCCGAGCCTGTCATTAGTGGCTCATGGAGTAACAGAAAGGAAATGGGTACGTACAAATGTGCTGTGAAAATGCATTAATTATATTCAGAAGTAACAAGCCAATAAATAGCATTCCCAAACTGGCATTTTTGTGAGGTCCATTTAATTCTGCTTCAAATTTTTCCAAATATTTGCTCTGTTATATCTTGTGTTAGGCCCTGGCGATAAAAACGTAAGTGAGGCTCAGGTTCAAATCCCAGTGGACCATGGTCTAGTTGGCTGTATACAGTCATATGAATATAACTAATCAGGATGTGGGAAGTTCTCCACAAGCAAGTGTGAAATGTGCCATATGTGCCTACTAAATAGATTACTTGACTATATAAGCTAAGCATTCTGGGAACATAGACAGGAAGCCATTGATTTTGCCAGTGGTTATTCATCCAGCTTATGTTAAGAAATGAGAGTTGGGATTGCAGAGATGGCTCAGCAGTTAAGAGGACTTACTAGCTGCTCTTCTAGGGGACCTAGAAGAGGACCTTGAGGACCTAGAAGACCTAGTTCAGTTCCCTGTTCCAACTTACAATGGCTTATAACTCTGGGTCCAAGGGATCTGAAGCCCTCTCCTGCCTCTCAGCCACCCTTCCAGAAGTGTACACACACACACACACACACACACACACACACACACACACACACACACACTATACACATAAAAAAGAAAAGAGAGCCTAACATACTCCAAGAACAATATTGTGGAAATAGTCGCAGCTCCCTGGGAAATGAGGCACTACAGAAAAACTGTCAAGGGCACCACTGTTGTCATTTTGATCAGCTGGCTTTGAATTCTAGTTGTTTGTATCGTAAGCTACTCATCTACATACACATCTACATGTAACCACATATATGGTGTCTTCTGTGGAAAGGATAATCCAGCTTCTTATGCCTCACGTGTCATAAGCATTTCCAACGGAATCAGTCTTACGAACTCCCAGGATGAATTTCACAGATCATGGAAAGATTCAATTTTCAAACAGTTTTGTTACAGGTCAGTGCTTACCAGAGAGAAAGCAAGCAGAGGTCCTGTGTAGCAAGAGCAGCCTCATGCAAGTGCCGTCACCGAGCACCTCACTCGAAGGGCGGATGACGTTTTGTTAGATTGAGGCTTTGTGTGGGGGAGCTGCTCAGCCCAGCTGCTCATACCCTTCTCCATCCTGGTGTCGGAACTGGAGTTTGGGCACACGTGGGGGATTTGATTCCTCATAGCATCCAGGCAGCTGCGCTCACGAGGTCAATGTATAAAAAGAGAAAGCTTAAAATAAACCAGAACACACACTAGGGCCCTTAAACGTTTTTTGGCCTCTGGCCAGGATAGAACCGCCAGTAAAACCAAGGACATCTGTGGTTCCTCAGTTTTGAGTTCTCATCTCTGACCAGTTTCTCACCTTTCACATGGCTACCCAGAGTCTAGAGACCATGGAAGGAGGCAGGATGGACGCCCTGCTAGTTTGGTAGGGCGTTGGTTCTGGTTCTTTCCAGGGTTTGCTGGTCATTTCCAAATCAGGGCCATCAGATGCTGCTGCTGGCTTCTAGAGCCTGGCTGAGCGCTGCTGCGAGCACTGCATCTTCCCAGAGGGACCTGTCTCACTGGAGGCCCAGCTGCAGGTCAGAGCCATGTGTGGCAGAGGCAGGAAGTGTGAGGGGAAATACGAAATGTAAGCTGACAGCTTGTCTTCTTTCAAAGTTAGCAAAGTCATTTGCTTTCACGTAACTTCTGATGTGCTCCTTTTTCTTTCTGCTTACCAACCACAAATAGGAAGAGAACAACTGTTGAAGCCATTTCTGTTTCCAACTTTTCTAGTAGGCTCGAAGGTTCTTAACAGTTATTCAAATCTGATTAATTTAATTCCAGCCTGTATTTATTGTGTGTTAACCTCATGCTGTGTGGCATTCAAAGTTAATGCAGGGACAGAACCAGCCACTATCCTCAGGATGCTTCTAGGGTTCTCAGGGAGAAGACTACCAAATGCAAATCATAAGCATAGAAATGACAAGAGAGATAGATAATAAAGCACAACGGACCTGTGGGGAGTAGGGTGACTTATAACTCTACCTGTAAAATAAGGAGGGTGCCAAAGAAAGCCTTTGTTGACATGTGACACAATGCTACGCCAGTGTTCCTGGTGATAAGGTCCCCTGCTTTAGCATGAGAGGCAGGAAGATTTTTCTCATACATTTCTGTCTGTTTCTTCTGCAGTTTTCTGTTTTGTTTTGTTTCATTTAGCAGTAAATAAATTTCATGCACTATACTTGGGAAAGATTTAAATAAGCCAACATGTTCACAAATGGCATGTTTCACAAATGGTGTATAAATAACTAAGACTGTGGAGTTCAAAATGACCTGTGAACTAGAAATGTGACATTTAGAGTTGTATGCTTTTCTTTCTTGGATAGAAAAGAAACATTTGTCTGCATAGGAATTCATGAAGGTGACCCAACGTGGAAGAAGGACTATTCACTTTGGCCATGGGGATCTTGTGACAAGTTGGTTCCTTCAAGGATTGTATTCAAACCAGAAGAGTGGATTAAAAGCACCAGAAGTATCTATAACTGGACTGAGGAATATGGAAGGTATGAGCAGCAGGTGTGTTTTTAAGCAAATAGCAGTTTTGTATCTCTTAAAAACAAAAAAGACTACATTTTGAGTTACCAAAGTTCTTTCTATACAGCCTGGTCTCAAACTCAGGGTCCTGCTGCCTCAGCCCCCGGTGCGGGGGTCACAGGCCTGTCCTACCACACTTGACTCTTTAGATGCCTTTTAATTTTAATGTTCAAGGTTTTTTTTTTATTAATAACATTTTCTGCCCGCAAAAGATCCTAAAGATGGCTTTCTTTCTTTCTTCTCCTTCTGTCTAGGCAATCGGGAAAGGAGGGCTTTGGGTTCCCTAGGAGTTTGATGCATGGCACCTTCTGCTTTCAGGCCATGACCCTGCATGGTCCAACATCCTATATCTTATTATGCTTTGAGTGGAAGGGACTCCTGAGCTCCCGTTAAGCTCTGGGAGGCACTCTGTTGGCCAGGACAATTTCCGTATGTGTGAACTCGCCATGCTCCTTCTGTAAGAATGCAGACACAAGTTTAGCATGTGTGTAGCTCAGTGATGCAGCACTTTCCTAATGTGTTTGGAGTGGAGTGCTCAGCCCCAGCACAAAACTGAAAAGACAGCAGCTTCTGTAAGGAAGGCTGATTTGAGAGCCCTTTTCTGTGGTTGGTTGTTTTTTATCGACCTTGTTATGTTCCTTAGGGTATTCTTCATCCCTTCCTGAGCATTTCTACATAAAGTTTACTCTTACCTATAGAAAATAATCCCATTGAGACAGTCGCCTCTGTTATCTGTTGCTTTAAATTATGAGCGATTGAGCTGGAGAAATGGTTCATTGGTTAAGAACCTGCACTGCCCTTGCAGAAGACCCAACTTTAGTTCCCAGCACCCACATATGCTGACGTCGTAACAACCTGTAACTCTAGCTCCAGGAGACCCAGCATCCTCTTCTGGCTTCCACGGCCACCTGCACATATCACCCCCTCCACACCCACACAGTTAAATAAAAATGTCTTTAAATTAATGGATTATTTAGCATCAGCTAGCCTGATGTTTATAATTCAGGTGCAAGAGGAAAGATCACATTAACAAGTGCAATGAAGGTTTTCTGAGACAGTATGAGCCAACAGCACATGGTTGTATGATTCATAAGAAAAGTTGGGAAATAGCAGTGTGCTGGATATGGTGGTGTATGTCCCAGCTTCCCATACTCAGGAGGCAGAGTCAGAAGGGTTGTGAGTTCAAGGCCACCCTGGTGTACATAGTGAAAACTACGTTTCCTTCCAATAGCTGATGGAGAATACATGAGCATATCGTCCTGTAGCTCCACTCTGCTTACACCGGTACATGGAGATTTTTAATTCTAAATTTCTTGTCTTAATTTTTATTATACATTTTTATTATAAAGTTCTGGCAGCGGTTGTTTGGCCAGAATTCTTCAAGCAGCCCATAGCCCAGCAGGGGTATAGTGCTGTTCCTCTTGACACATGCTCTTGGCTGTGTCCCAGTGTGGCCTGGCCCCACTCTGTCACCTCATAGGCCTGCAGCGTGGTCCCTTTGTCCTCTGCTTCCTTAAGGCTGGTTAAGACTTAGTAGGCACACCTATTGAAATGCCAAAGGTTTTGATGTGATCACTGTCAGTACATCAAGAGGCAGCCTGCTTCAGTGGCCTTGTAAGACTGCAAAGCAGACATTACGTGTTCGCAATGTATTGGAGCTGATGGTAGGAACTGTTTTTCTGTAACTACAGGTTTGATCCATCTTCTTGGGAGTCGGTGGCCAATGAGGAGATGTGGCAAGCAAGGTGACCCATCTACATTTTCATACTAACGTGGCAAAGAATAGCTCATGGCTCTTTTCATTCTGGGAATATGGACAAGTGGAACTAAAAATAACTTAAGGGCAACTATTTTGTTCATGACATTGTGTTGCTATGTGTACATAATGTCATCTCATCCTCAAAACCCATGAAGCTCTGTTATCTGGATTTTATAAGAACAAGGTGGATGGATTTCTGAGGGCACTTACTGACGTGATGGAATCCAAAGCTCGGTATAATCCTGAGGCACTCCTCTCTCTGATACTTGTGGTCCAGCTAGGCCAGGGGATGTAGGGGAGATGGGGTGGAATTGAGCACTGAAGCCTTGCTGCATTTGTGTCGTGCTAGTCTGCTATTAAAACATCAGTTAGTACTTACCAGAAGCCAGACCCTGTGCCTGACCAGAGCTATACCTGTCTCAGAACACTCATGAAGAGATATTGTCCCTTATGTGATGGATGCTATACTCTCCTGTTGTTCAGCAGGTCAAGGCACTTGTCAAGCCCAATGGCCCGAGCTTCATCCTTGGAATTCACAAGTTCTTCTCTTGTCGACACATTTGAGATATGCCATGCAGTTTCACACAGATACAATGTAAATAAATGCAAAAAATTAATAAAAACAATACCAGTAAATTTTAGCCAAAACATTAGTACAGAAGTCCTAAGCCATACAGAAAGGTGTCCCTCATGTATATGCAAAAATATATTGATGCCCCACCTATTCCAGAGATTATGTTCTAAGAATTGACTTATGGTATAAAGCATTTACATATGCTTAAAGATCTATTAAGAATTATGTGGGACTGGAGAGATGGCTCCGTAGTTTAGAGCACTGACTGCTCTTCCAGAGAGCCTGGGTTCAATTCCCAGTAACCACATGGCGGCTCATGGTTGCCTGTAACTCCAGTTCCAGGGGACCTGACACCCTCACCCAGACATACGTGCAGGCAAAACACCAATACACATAAAACTAAAAAATAAATAAATTTGAATTACAAAGAAATATAGCTCCTTGGGCCAGCAAGACAGCTCAGCAAGTAAAGGTGTGTCAGTGTGAGTCTGATCCTTACTGCCTTGTGGTAAAAAGGGAAAACTGATTCCTGCAAGTTGCCCTTTGACCTCTATATTTACACTGTAGCACATGCAGCCCTGTGTCATACCACCACACACAAAAATAAATAAAAAAATTTAATAGTAACGTTTTTAAATAAGTATAACTCCAGTATAATTACTACTAAATAGCTGTATATAGTGTGTGCCAGCATGTTTGTGAAAACAGTAGAAAATGGCCTAAGTTGCCAGCCTAGTTACAGGGACAAATACTTGCATTGAAGAACTGGTCAAAGCTGCACTGCACAATTGTTCATTGTGATTGAATGTGGGAAAGCCTGGGAGATGGTTATATAAGAAGAAAGCAGGTATTGCTCTAATTCAGGCAGGTATTGCTCTAATTCAGGCAGGTATTGCTCTAATTCAGGCAGGTATTGCTCTAATTCAGGCAGGTATTGCTCTAATTCAGGCAGGTATTGCTCTAATTGTGTGCTACATACAATTTGGATGTTGGTGTGTTCAAAGAGTCCAGACACTTTTGAGGAACTGGTTGCACATGACACAAGCTGTTGTGATGGGCACCTTCAGTGGTGCCCTGACAAACCCAGCAAGTGCCCCTGTCCCTGACTACTCTTCTGTAACAGCGATACATGCCTGTAGGAACCCTACAGTGATGACATGACTTTCTCGCCAAAAGCTTCAGCGTTGAGTGTGAGCGCTGTGCCTCAGGGGGCTTTTGGATTGCTGTTGATTCAGAATAAATTTCCATGCACGCAAGAAAATGAAGAATGCACAAGAAAGGAATTTTATGCTGTGGTAGGAATCTAATGAGAGTTCTTCCTCCCATCTCCAGGATGAAAACACCGTTCTTCATCTTTAACCTGGCGGAGACGGCCAAGGTGCCTCCAGACGTGAAAGCCCAACTCTACACTCATGCATATAAAGTAGGTCTCAGTTTTGTTGACGGGCATCCTGGGAGGTAGAGGTGACTACGGTGGAGACAGCGTGTGGGACATCAGTTTTAGTCTCTGGTGCCCAGCTTATCTTGAGCATTATAGAGCAGCACATATGGGGAAAATATTCAACTTCCAATTGCGTCATAAGCAGGCTTTAAGGTCATGGTAATCAGAATAACATCCCCATCCCATCATGCTTTCCCACTACTGTCTGTGGCAAAAGGCACTCTAAGTATGGTTGAGTTAAAGGACTTGAGATCGAGCTTATTCTGGGTTAGCCAGTTGGGTCCAGTATGATCACGGGGTCTTATAAAAGGCAGAGCAGAAAGAGGGAAGAGATTTGGGGTGGTATCCACTGGCCATGGAGATGGAGAAAAGGATGTGAGTTATAGCAGCAGAAGATTCTGGAACCTAGAACAAGTTCTGCAGCACACCAGGAGTGCATCCCCGCTGATGTCTCAGCTGCTCACCCCGGGTGCAGGATGGTGAGCCTGGGTTGTTTTTAGCCTGTGTCTGTGGTTCTTCATTGCAGCACCAAGAGGAAACTAACATAATAGCTTTACTAAAACAAGTTCTGCCATGTCACCGTCATCCTGACCGCTTGTGAAATGATAGGCCATGGCTGGTAGAGGAGTCTTGAGGACAGATAAAAGCCACAGAGAGAGTCTGTCTTCTGACTAGCCTTGGGAAGCCCAACACCTTCGCCATGGCTACTCCCTCCTCAGGAAAGGCACGCAGAGGAGAGGCTTGTGATAGCACTGTTTTGACAAGGCTCTGGTTTCCTTTGACTTCTAACACTGCAGACATAGCCAGTTGGCCATGTATAAACATATATCCTGGTAAGGCCTGTGCACACAGAGCTCAGGCCCTGCATACATGAGCAGCCAAATTCCTGTCTCTTTGCATTGCTAGGCTTCTACTCAACCAGCACATTTGCTGCTGAGTTAAATCAGCATGGTGCCCAATTGGCATGGCTTATTCTGCTCCTAACTTTTGAACATTAACTCACTTTTATCCATTTTTCACTCACAGCACTTACTGAATGCCTGCTAGATACCATATACTGTTAGATACAGACTTGTCTCTGCTATCACAAAGGTAGCAAGCTACAGAAAGGATGTTGAGGACGATCTACTCTGTAGTCACAGATGAGTCTCATGTGTGCTGACAGAAGTGCCATGGGGCTCAGGGAACTGAGCCTGAGTGCTTGGGAGAGATGTCCTGAGGTGCCATGCTGGAGTATCAGGATGAGCTAGTGACAGGAGGGAGGTGGGGCCGGAAGGAGGCAGCCCCGGGGCAAAGGCAGAGTCCTCCCAGGAACCGCACTCAAGGACAGTGAGAGAGTTGATTCTGGAAGGCAGCTAAGAGGGTCAGAGTCTAAGCTCATTCCAACATAAATGTCAGCTGTGAGTCACCAGTGTGAAGGGAAAACTGTTCAGGGAGAAACTTGAAGACAGATGGAGTTTTTACATCTCCAAGGGACAGTCACAGGCTGGGAGTATCCATTTGGCTGCTCTGGAAGGGATGGAAAAAGATAATACAGTTGGTCCATATTTTCTACATGATATTGTGAACACACCCCCTAATTCAAATGCACTGTATGGTCTGTCCTCACTCTACTGGGACACTCCAGTTAAACAGTGCTAATGTGAGGTGAAGTTCCTAAAGAAGGAGGCATCATGTTCCTCTGTGCAAACTATGTCCTCTTACCTGTTCATTTGTTAAATGTTGATGCGTTCCCTCTGGAAAATTCGTTATGAAAACTCTAGACCACTGGAAAGATGACTCAGTAGATAAAGGCACTTGCTAACAAGCCCGAGGACCTGAGTTTGATGCCCAGAACCTACGTAGTGGAAGGAGAGAACCATCTCTCAGAAGCTGTCCTCTGATCTCCACATGTGCACCATGGTGCGTGCGCACGCGCGCGCGCACACACACACACACACACACACACACACACATAGGCACGTGTGCACATACACATGCATGCATGCACGCACAATCAATAAATGTTTTAATTCTACTTGTATCAATTACTACTGCCTCTGCAATTGGGCAATCAAAATTCCGTGGTTCTGTGGTCAGTGTTGTGGCTGAGAAAACGGTCAATTGTAGGGTGTTGGGAAGATTTCCATCGTTGCCCTCTCAGGGGATCTCTCAATTGTGTTGTGCCAGTACATTTGAGAACAATGGAATTGTTTGGATTAAATTGTTGCTAACACTACTGTTCTTCCATGTAGAGAAAAATCCATATTAATAATGTGAAACAGAAGTTTAATTCTGCCAAGTCCTTTTTCTACACTGTCTATTAAAGACAATTTTTTTTTTTTTCCAGCAGCTAAATTTAGAGGTTTAGCCGCTCGGCCTGTTGAGTAAATAGCTTTCCTCCAGTTAGAACTAAATCCTTTCCCAGAACATCTTTCTGGAGGAAGAGCACTTTGTCCTGACACAGTGTGTCTTGGGGTCCTGCAGTATCCAAAGCCCCAGAAGCAGTTTTAGATGAAGCACATTTGCCTCCTGCTACTGTAGTAATTACGTAGCATCCCTGTATTTTCTGCATGGCCTGGCAATGATTAGATTTTTACCGTAGGCTGCTTGGATTTTTTTTTCCTTGTGTTATTAATTCCTCTCTGTTTTCTGGTTTTGAAATGAGACAATCTGTCAAGATAACAATGGAGTGCCAACATTTGCTGTCTTCCAGCTTTATAAGGAGATAGTGTACTTGCAAGAGGAACACCCAGAGAATTGGCACAAGAACTACGCCATCGCCTGCGAGCGGGTGCTGCGCCTCCCAGGCACAGACGCAGAGCCTGAAGTCCTGCTGTCTGAGGCTATCAGACACTTCCACCTCTACACTCAGAAAGCACAGACTGACCCACAGCGAGCAGACATTATAGCCGCCCTCAAGCACCTCAGAAGAGAACTGCAGAGTCTAAGAAACACAAAAAAGGTCTGAGCCAGCAAACGATAGCAGCCTGCTCCCTGTTCTGCTTCCGGAGTTGAAGGTCTAAGTCCAAAAACTTTCCTTCAAGGAAAGAAGCTGTGTCAAAAACGTAGAAATCTCAGTTATCTCCTGGATATAAGTAATGTGTACAACAGAAACACGTTAATGGCTAAAGTGTACGCCTTATGCAAAATTGTGTTTATCTCATGTTGTCAAATTAGCATTTCCTTGAGAAGCGTTCAGAAACACCCGCAGTCTTCATATACCAGCTGTAGGTTCTAGAAGAGAAGTAGCTGTCTCCACAGACCTAAAACATTTCTGAGTCTTTTGTGGTCTGTGATTATTGGGATCCATTTACAAAGATATTCTTAAAATACTTGTTCCAGACCAAAGACATTTTCCATTTCCTGCAAGTGTGATGGTCTCTAAAAACAATTCTCGTTATACCTCATTAGAATTCCTTTTTTCTCTAGTTAACTATAATTATTAGAGTCTGAAACTTTATACTTTATACCAAGTATGGATTTTTAAAAAAAACTTTTGAGTTTTATCATCTTCATTCTGCAGTCACTGAAAAGGAAAGCTAATTTCATGTTTGCTTATTTCAGTTGCAGAAATAGGCAAATTAAACAGCGTGTAACGTGTCCTTAATTAATTTCATATTTATGTTTTACTGCTATTTGGATTCACAGATCTAGACCCAATAATTAGTAGGTAGCCGGCTGCCCAGATGCACAAAGCGGGGTGGGCAAGAGGGGGGGGAAGTTGTTGAATAAATTCATTTTTGTTACAGGCATCTTTTATACATATTACTAAAGGGACGTAGTAAGAAACGCAAATAATAATAGTTCTTTATTTTATTATGACAGTTAATTAATAGCAACCTGTTTTAATGAATAAAGTCACTCAGAGTCCTTCAGCACTTCCTAAGTAGAGGCCAGAATCTGTAGGGATTCTTTCCCCCGATTGTATAGCTCCTAGACTCCAAGCACTATATAGGCCCCTGTATAGAAATGCTCCCTAATGAAGAGGGAGGGCTAGAAGCTGGTCTGCATTCAAAGATCACTGGTGAGTCATTCAGCAAGCAAAGGCCCCTTACCAGGAATAGTCACAGTTCCGTGGCATTGTACTAGCAAAAGGGTCTGATCAAAGGTCTCCCGTGGAGCTTGTATGGTTCCCTTTCATACCACGACCATAATTAAAACCACTAATTCTCTTTTAAAATGCTGCAGGATGCCATGTAGGCATCTGTCTGGAGTGTCCTTTGTGATGTCATAAGCTGTTAAGGACCAGTGCCGAGGGCTTTTGAGTGAAATGCCAGTCATGAAGGTGCTTCAAGACAAGGGTGCCTCTAAAAGCTTGACAGGGCCTTGACTGCACAATTCGAGCTGAATTTGCCCCTTGTCAGCTGCCAGTAAATAAATCTCAAAGGGGGAAAAGCTGAAGTTTCATTACCTGATCCATGGGGCTTTGTTGGTTTTGGCATCACACAGGGGAAGCTCTTGCCCCTCCATTCTCTGGGTTTGAAGATGTCCATTGGAGCCTGCAGTGCCTGGACAGGGTTCAGAGCGGGGCCTTTTGAAGAGTGTCAATAGTTGTAACAGTTCAGCTGTTAGGAAGACAAATACATGGAGGAGCTCATTAATCCGCTTTTGGCTCTCGGTGCCTTTTGCCCTTTCATCGAAGCCTTATTAGGCTCCTGCTCATCTTGAACCAGAAAAGCTGAATTGAAGTTGTTGAGGACTAATTGGCAGAGACTTTAATCATGGGCCAAGAACTTTCACTGACTTGAAAGTAACTTCTCCACAGGGAAGAGCCAGAAACCTGGTTTACCTTAAAACAAAAACCTGTTGGAGCTCAGTGTGGTGTGAAAATTGAAGGAAGCATCGATAAATTGTCTAAGTCTATCCACTCGAAAAAATTATGTAAGATTATGATTTTCACTTTTCTGGGAGACAACAAAATTCAAACATTTCTTACAAGTTTTTATTAATTCATTAAAAATTTTGTGAAAGTATGTGGTGACCAAGTTTGTTTCTGAACATCCGGCTCCACGTGGGATGGCTCACCTGAGACTCTACATGTGCATGCAGTACATTCAGACCCTCATTAAAAGGAGCGCTTTCTGTCAGTGGCTTTACGAGTGAAGAAAGGCCTCTGTAAGAGCACCTGCCTTTTAAATGTGTGTCAGCATGTAGGCCTGCCAGCTTCTGAGTGAGTTTCAGGCAGCATGTGTGTTATTTGGTATTTGTGCAGCAGTGACTTCAGACCACTGTCTTTGACAAACCAATAATATGTAGCCTGTGACACAGAAAGTCACAACTCCTTAAATTTCTTAAAAACCATTGGGAAATGAAAAAATGAGGAGCTAAGATTTAAGGTTGGTTAGTTTGGTTGGCCTTCATCCCCCATCAGTGGCTTCCAAGAATCCTCTCCTTTCTCCTGAGAGAAGCTGACGTTGCTTTTCCTTGCTTCTCTTACTTTCCCTGGGCTAGAGCCTAACATCATAAAATTAGACACAGGGCTCCTCTAGTCCAGTACTGAGGAGGTGTGGAGGAGATGGCTTCTCATGCAGGATTTGGCCAGCGTCCCCCTCACAGTGTCCCTGGAGTGCTGTGGCTTGGCAGGTTGACAGGAACCCCACAAAGCCAACTTCTGCCTGGAGTTTAGCCTGAGGAGCAAGTGGGAGCCGGCGGAACTGTCTGTCTCCACACTGCAGTGCCCTGCTGCCTGAGCCTGAGGCCAGCCCACACCAGAGGGTCCAGGACGAGGCATCCTAGCTTCCATGTCGGCTAGCAGAGCAGCGAGCGTGGCTTCCATGTCGACTAGCAGAGCAGCGAGCGTGGCTTCCATGTCGGCTAGCAGAGCAGCGAACGAGTCCCACTTTCACCCTTCTCTGTCCTTTGCTGGGAGTGTGCACAGTTCCTAGGGTTGATTTCCCTAAAAGGACCTTTACTGTGTATGGTTCTGTTACTCAAAGTGTAGCCAAAATAAAATTGTCACTAATGTATTACTTTGAAAGCATACAACAGACTTTGCAAATGTTATTTTGCTGATAGTCTCAGTGTTTTCTGATGATGAAGCTATGATGTTTAGCCATTAAGAGATTTAATTAAAGCCAGTTTGGGGAGGGCAGGTTATTATACTCTGCTGGTAATTTGATGTCATCAGATTAGGATATGAAGAGTAGATTCCTAAATTTACATATTAAAGTCAAACATTGTGACTCCTTAATTGTACTTCCCAATAATATCTGTCAGCAGTTAAAATGAGTGCCTTTAATATTCAGGAAAAATTTTCAATTTCAGAGGTTAAAAATGAATCCTATTATAGCCAATCCTTTTGTTTTATTTCTGATATAATTTTATAGATGCACTATCATCGGGTAATAAGATTCTGAACTACTCAAATGCTATGGCTAGGTAAAGAAAATAATTCCAGACAGACCCCTAAGAGATTCACACGATTTTCATTTATCCTCAAATTTTGTTGTGGATGCAAAATCACTCTTAAGCTTATATGCCAAATAAGTGATGTTTCCAAGGATGCTGGGAACATTGAAAGCCAAGATCTTGGCCCAGCATTGCAGCGCAAACAAGGAGTGGAGGCTTAGCTGTGCTCATGCTCAATGAAGACGTCATTGTCAGGACTCCGAAGGCCTGTTTGATTTGGATCAGCATAGACGTTATCTTTGAAAGCCCAAGGAGCGGTACAGTGTGCTTACCTGGGGTACAGGGAAGCAAACCAACCTGGGTATATCTTGACAGGGTTGCTTTGTTTTTTCAGCAAAAAAGAAATAACTCTTCACCAACACCACATGTGTTAGAAGGATTAGCTCATGCTGTTAAATCATAACTGGTGGTTGGTGGGAAGGGCAGATAGAAGTCCTCAAACCATGAATGTGAAGTGTTGTGGGTAAAGACTACAGAAAGATATTTTGAAGGTGTTTAAAACTGTCAGTTGCTAAGATTGCCTCATTTCAAAATAATGGTCAAAAGACCAGCATGTAGCTCAGGGCTGCACTCCTGCCCAGCGCTCAGCTTACAGGGTCCAAACACACCTGACCCTTCTGTCCATGTGCCATGGCATGAGGACATCTTAAATTCAGGTGTAAACAAAAATAGAGAACTAAGCCAAAGCCAAGAACCCATCCTCTCATAACTGAGTGGTTTAGAATTGTTGCGTCTGCTGTACAGAGAAGTTGAAATCAATAGACCAAACGTAATACAGCCCAGCTCCCTCCACTCAGGTCCAGTTCTGGAATCAAGTCTTCATGTTGGTATATGTTACATATTATAAACTAATAATATACATTGCATATTTTGTCCTTTTTATCGAAGTCAGCATCTATTCGTAAGTGTTGCCTTAAAGGGATTATTTTGAAAGAAAATCTGTTATAGTAGAAATTTTATTCAACTAAATGAAATATTACATAGCTGAACTGCTGGAAGTATTCTTAATTAATACCTGTAGTTGTTGCTCATCTGTGAAAGTCTGTGCTAAAAACTAAGGAGATTACTGTCTGGGAAATTAGACCAGACTTCTTGAGCCTGATGAATTGCCCACTACCTGGAACTTATCATTATACCCACAAGTACCATGAAAGACTAGAATGTCCCATGATACTAGTATAACAAGTCTTGAACCCCAAATCTGCAAGAGTGGAAACATTGAAGATTTTGAGGACCTGAATCATCTTATTGTGTCTTCCCTCAAAATCAGCTTTGAAAGTAGAAAGGAAACATTGCAAGATTGTTGTATTTGTAATAGCAGTCTTAAACATAATTCTTTATTGATCTTTTGGGAATTTCATTCATGCACCCCAACCCCACCTACCTTCCAGTCCCTCCATACTCATCCCTCATCCTACAGCATCCCCCCAAAGATAACCCCCACAGTTAAAAACAAAGCAAGCAAGCAAACAAACAAACAAAAACCCACATAGTTCCTTCCTCTTTCCCGCCTCTCCAACACTTCCATGCATCCTGGTGGCATTTGGAGCTGAGGTGTGTCATGCAGGATACCCTTTTGTCCATCAGCCCCACCAATACACAAGACCAAGCACCCTTTGTAGTTGCTTTAGTGATAAGGAACTAAAAATGCCTTTTAAGGAATTTCTCAAGTGGCAGGTGACCCTTTCATCAAAACACTCAGTTTCTTTTGGTTGAAGAGTTAAATCAAGCAGGTAGAAGGAAGTTTTAAAATAATGGAAAGATGGATGGTTGGATAGATGGATGGATTGACTGACTGGGGTCTAAAGAGATGGCTCTGAAGTTAAGAGCACTTGCTCTTGCAAAGGACCTGGGTGTGGTTCCCAGCACCTACAAGGCAAGTTGCAATAATCCATAATTCCAGTTCCTGGAATCTGATGTCTTCTTCTAACATCCCACGCCAGGCAGGCACATGGTGCACTTGCATGCATGCAGACAAAACAATCATACACATAAAAATAAATCTTTAAAAATATTTGCATAGAGAAGAACAGAAAACCAAAGTTCATTATAAAATAGCGTGGCTCCTTATGGAGAGGGCTCCTGGGTGGTGGTTCTTATTCAGCTTGCTGTGGTTTAAGTCATAGCATTTTCATTTTCCATGACTTGTCTTGACATCACTGTTTATCCTTCAGCAATCAGAACGTGAACCACTAACCTGTGCACTTAGCTGCCTTGCGGGGAACAGTCTCTCAGTGTGCAGGGCTGTATCTAGCTGGAGCATCTGGGTCTTAAAGTTCACACAATAAGAACTGACCTGTTTCCCGATGAAATGAGGGAAAATATCAGAAAGCATGAGGGAGGAGTATTTCTTAAAACTCCGTTCATGTTGTGTATATGCAAATGGGTATGCGTAACATCATACTAAATGTAGGGATAATACATCATACTGAATGTGTAGCTGGTCTCCCAGCACTCAGGAGACCAGAAGATTCTTCTACTTGAGTTTGAGGCTAGCCTGGGCTACATATGGAAGACACTGCCTTAGAAATAAGAATAGAGTCTGTTTCTTTTAAGGGTCATTAAAAAGTAATTATGTTTCAAAGATACTGGCTTTGGAAAACCTAATGCCAGAATGACTTGTAAGGAATCACTGAATACAGACTACCATAGCTTCTCTATCCACCTAAACCAGGAGTTTAATCCCAGCACTAGGGAGGAGGCAGGAGAATCACCAAGAGTTAGAGGATAGGCTGGGCTATGGAGTATTCTAAGCCAGCCTGCACTAGAGTGAGACCCTGTCTCATAAAAACAGAAAGGAACTTGGGTGGAGAAAGTTTCTTTCTCCAATACTTCTTTTAATAAATGTTTATGATCCCAGCACCACAGAAGCAGAGCCAGAAGGACTCCTGGGTCTGGCTGGCCCAGTCTAATCAAATTGGTGAGCTTCAGGTTTGGTGACAGATACTGTCTCAAAAAAATATGGTGAATATCAATTGAGAAAGACACTGGTGTCAACTTTGGCCTCCATCCACTTACAAGTAGCACACACACAAACACACACATATTCACAAACATAGGCCTATAGTAAATAGATGGCTTGGTTAATGTCACTTGCCTAAGTAGCCATGAATTTGGAAGCAAAATATGAGCTAGCTGACAGTCTGGGAATCTTCCCACAATGAAATGAAACCAGCTGCATCCCACCACCATTCTGTGGCTCTCAGAAGCCATCAAACGTGCAGCTATATCTAAATCATAATTAATTTTCCCAAAGCTAGTATGTGAAATCAGAGTCCCCTTGTCACAGGAAATTAAGATCCATACATGAACTTCTTTCTCTGGTCCAACCTTCCAGCGTAATTTCTTTTCCCTCTTCTTTTAGCAGGACTGGATGTATCCCTGGCTTTCCCCTGAAAATTTCCCTGCCCATTCTGGATTCAGGAACGCATACCCAAACAGAAAGAGTTCTGGCCAGGCAGTGGTGGTACATATCTTTAGTCCCAGTACTCAGAGAGGCCTGGTCTACAGAGTGAGTTCCAGGACAGCCAGGGCTACACAGGGAAACCCTATCTTGGGGGGAGGAAGGAACGAAGGAAGGGTTCTGTATGATAAGAGTCACTTTGAAATCCAGGGACTTATTAGCATAAATTATGCTCCAGCTGACTTAGCAGCTGGGCGTTAAATGTTGGTCTTCTTTAGATTTATTTCCCTCGCCTAAGCCAACTTCAAAACATAGTCATAGTCCTGTTTGCAGAACATGCCCCAACTCCACAGAATGTTCATTTAGTTGGGGGTTTGGCTTTGCCCCTGGTAGCAGAGAAAAGGAGCATCCTGAGCTGGCATTTATACTGCTGGTTGGTTCAGCCACTGCACTTAAAATGCTAGAGACTAAGCAAGATGGCCCACCATGCTTGCCACACAAGCCTGCCCTGGGTTCGATTCTTAGAGCTTAGGTTAAGGTAGAAAGAGAGAATCAACTCCACAAAGAGTTGTCATAGATTTCTGCACACATATTATGGCATGATTGTTTCTTTCTCTCTCCTCTCTCTCTCTCTCTCTCTCTCTCTCTCTCTCTCTCTCTCTCTCTCTCACACACACACACACACACACACACACATCATACACATTCATAATATTAAAAATAATACATGTTTAGCTTTTTTAAATGTTTATAGTCTTTAACCTTTTATCTGTATGAATGTTTTTCCTGCATGTATGCATGCATGTGCCCGATACCCAAGGAAGTCAGAAGAGGGTATCAGATTGCCTGGATATGGAGTTAAGGATGGTTGTGAACCACCACGTGGGCGCTGGGAACCACATCCCAGGTCCTCTGCAAGAGCAACAAGGGCTCCTAACCACTGAGCCATCTCGTCAGCTCCACAAGCCTAGCTTCTTAATTACAAGCCAGTTCCATGTGGTAAGAATGTTATTTCCAAATTTGCCTGGGTTTTACATACGGTTTGTGACAAGTAGAATAGTAAGACTATTATAACCATAGTCTTGGTAACACTGGTCACTTGTTAAATTGCCTCAGTGAGCACTTCAGTTTTTTGTTGACTCAGAATTGGAGGTAATTTGACCTTTCAT